TTACAGTTCATGCATTTTTTTTTCAGTGAATTGTTAAATATATGTTATATTTACTAGCTATAGGAATAATGGATCTTCTGTGGAAGTCTGTCTTGCTCCGGATCTGAAGATACTCTGTTGAGGTTTACCAGTCTTTTGAGGAAGATGCTCACAGTCCATACTGCTTTTTATTGTATGAAGAATTATTCTTTGTGAAATCCTCTCCAGATATTCTAGGTATTTTTAATCTGCTTGTTGGGGCATCTTTATGTAATTTGCTCTGATGCTTTTACCTCAGCACTTGATTGCAGAAGTGATCATTCTCTACAAAACTTATAGAGGATATGCAGCATCTTCCTGCAAACAATGAAGGATCTAAACTTCCTTAAGAAGTAGTCTGCTCTGTTCCTTTTATTGATTATATTTATATTTACTGTTACACACTTGTTGGTATCCCTGGTTCAATTAAAGAAAACCTACAATGGTCACAGAAATCAGTTGTATCTGACAAAAGGAAGTGGTGGCCTAGTGGTTAGGGCATAGAGCTTGGAATCCTGAGGTTGTGAATTTGAAACCCACTCCCACAGACTGCCACTCTGTCCCCCAGCGAAGACCCTCAATCCCTACAAAAAGCAATAAATAAAAATAGCTAAATAATAAAAACATTGCTATTCAGTCCTGCTTCAACAGAATCTTTTCAAAAAAATAAACTTCAAAAAACAAGTCAGGACAAAAATATGATACCCTAAACTTCATAGATACTTTGAGGAAAATGCGGCAATAAAACAATTCCTGTAATTCCAATTCCTGATGAGCCCAGAAAAACATAAGAAATGAAAGGTTAACGTCAAGCTGTACATCTCCAGTCTGTTCTGTCAGTGAAAGCTAATGTATTTCCACTCCACCTCCAATATGTTTATAGGTTTTGAGTTGTTCCCATTTCTTCTGAATTCTACAACCATCACACCTGTTTTGTTCACATTAAGGATAAGATTACTGGTCCAACAGCTCGCTGTACTCAGCTTCTTGTTCTTCTTTATTGCACCCAAATGCATTAAATAGAAAGTTTTATAGAGTAAAAAAGAATGGTAAGAGTACTGCCCCCTGTGGTGCTCCTCTGATGCTAACTACTAAATTAAACAGTTGATCCAGACAGTTGGCTGAGTTTTCTTTGATAGCAGAATTAGACACATCACATAAACCGTCTCCTGGGTCAGGCTAAGGTTGAAGAGGTGTGGTAAAATCCTACAGAGTTGCCTTGCCCAGGCCTTCGGGGATCTGGTCTGACACCATCTGGGCCTAGTGACTTATTGCCAGTTAGTCTCTTTGGGATCTTGTCACTTGACTTGTAGAGACACACAGGTGAAAGGAGCAGCTCCTCTCATTTAGTTGAGAAAAAACAGAAGTAGGAGGGTCCATTACAGAGATGGAAGATGCAATATTTGAGGCATGAGAGGGAAGCTTTGGGGCAAAGGAGGATGGGATGTCGGTTTGACTGTTGGCAGGAGAGGAGGGTGCTGAGCTTGTTCCTGAACTGAACTCATAAAAAGAAAAATTGACTCTGCCAGACTTTCATCTGTCTGAACCTCCATCTCCTTTAATTCTATGATCTTTTTCAGTGCCGAGCACACATCTCTGATATTTTTCTGCTAGAGCTTGACCTGGCCAACACCATCTGTATTTAACAACCACTGGCAACCAAGCTCTGTTGCATTTTCAAGTGTTCTATAAATATCCCCTCTCTCTCTCTCTGCTCCTGCTCTGCATCCTTGGCAGATCCTTTCCAACTCGTCAGGGTCTGAATAAAATGTTTGTACTATTTCAGCTTTTGAGATGTTTATGAACTATAAAAAGATTAATATTAAAATAAATAAATAAAAATTTTACCAATCCGAAAGGGAAATTAAATAATTCATGTATAATTGATGATGATAGCAAAAAGCCTTCCAGCAGCACAGCATCCAAAATCAGAGGTCAAAAATAGAAATAAAAATATATAGTTAAAAAAGTGTTGATCCACAAATAGAGGAAAATTTTACATCCCTTTTCAAAGTAAGGTGTCACAGTATAATGAAAAAAACTGCCATTTGCCACTGGGAAAAAAAACAAATCTAGGTAAGTGATTTTTTCTTAAGATAAGTGCATTTGTTCTTGGATTGAGGAAGTAAGAGACACTTTGCCAATGGAACAAGACAATTTACACTTAAAATAAGAAAACACCGTAGCATTGTCTTATTTCAACTGCACTTTATCTAATCATCTTATTTTAAGAGTAAAAATACTCATTCCATTGGCAAATTATCTCATTTACCTACTCAAATTAAGGTTAAATACACTTAATTTAGGAAATTTGTACTTATTTCTAGATCATTTTTCCAGTAATGCTGCTTAAAAATGTTTTATTTTTTCTCTCTGGGTTCCCATGTGACAGACCAAGATAAGCTAATTTAGGGGTTTCTGTAGGATATATATATTCTGTGGGAAAAAAACCCAAGAAAAACAGGAAAAATATTTTCTACGGTAAACTATATGTAATATATGATGTAGACGTATACCTTTTTAACTATATTGATATGATTAACGTAAACAAAAGTGTAACGCTTATTTGGTTTCAATGCAGTTGAAACATTTTCAAAACCAGAACAAACCCAAGTGACCTCTTGTAGCTTAAATAAAACACTAGTCTGATTGGAAAGCAGCATGGGGGGAGCAGCTCAATCAGGCACATTGTTGTGAGTTAATATAGCGTCTGCCTCTTTCTGATAAAGATGATTCAGTTATATTTCGGGTTATATTCTAAAACTTTTTTTTTTTTATGTTACAATTGATCATATAGGGACATCTACTGATGTAAAGTTAAAACTACAAGGTCGGCTCCAAGCTTTATTGATGACCAGATCTGCAGTAGAAAACTGCTTTCCTTTACCTGCTCGTGTTCAGTCTTTCAGACACCAGGATGGCTTATTGACACTGCAAACACTCCGTTTAAACTCAAAACAAAGAGGCTGCTGCTGACTCTTTAAACATGTCTGTAGCAGAGACTGTAAATGCCATTGAACATACCAGCAGTGGTAAATTGTATCTTTATTGTTGCAGTGATGGAGCTATTGCCGTCTATGGCCCAAGATGGCCTTGAATTTTTTTGAATCTCAAAGGGACTTTCCTGATCAAATACAAGTTAAATATGAGCATAGTTTGAACTGCTACCATCCTATGTATTAATAAAGCAGTGGATCTAGGACATGAACCGTCTGTTCTGGGACTGTGGGAAAATGTTCAGCCACTGCAGCAGGTAATTATCAAAGTTTTAACATACATGTAAAATAAATCTAAAGAACAGAGTAGCAGAATTCAGTTGTTTTTATTTTTGTTGATATTTTAGCTAGTAAAACAAATTCCACAGACTGAGATGGAGAACAGGCACAAGGGGAAAAGTGCAATGACATTTATGTGCAAACATCACTTGATGCCAGAGTTGTCTACGTACATTGTCTCAAGCAGGGTTCCTACAGCATAAAGAAAGTTAAATTCAAGACTTAAGACTTTTTAATGCCACTTGAAATAAAAATTTAAGACCAAATTTACAAGAAAGACAAGAAAAACCCACTTGTGACAACTTTACCCAAAGGTTTATTTTAACATAAACCACTGCACTAACATTTCAAATTTTGAAAAAATGTCCATACAGGAAAGCTAAAAACACACAAATGACAGATAAATGAATAATTATTTAACTGAATTCACAAACTTTGTTTTAGCAGGACAAAACAAATCAGTTTTAAAGCCGCAACATAACCAGTGCTAAGTCTTTTTTGCAGCTATTTTTCTTTGTATCATTTTCTTAGTATGTTTGATTTGGTGATTAGTGGAGGCGTTGCAGAGACAAGAAATACCGGCTGTTTCTCGGTAACGCGATTTTAACGATCTGTGTTTTGCGCTTCGCATGTGCAAATCCACAGCCTTAATTCCCATGGTTCCGAGCTTGAATCGCTTCTTGCACAAAATACACTGTGCCTCATGCATGTCCCCTGGTACTGGTTTTAGCCATGGAGAAAACTCTTGGCTGGATAGACAATTTTCATTACATTTACACTTGCTCATATTTTCCAGACAAAAAGTTAATGGTGCATCTGGTCAACAACACTTTTATTGGTTCCGCTATCGGGACGGAAGCAATAACGGAGAGCCGTTATTTTTTTCAAATAAAAAAGAATTGTCAATTTTAACGTTTTATTTAGATTACAAAAATAAATCGTAATAAAATGATCCTATTTATGATGTTTTCAAAATTAAGACCTACGAAAGACTGATTTAAGACATTTTAATACCAATTAAGGCCTTAGTTTTATTTTGAAGAATTCAATGCCTTTTAAGACTTTTTAAGGACCCGCGGGAACCCTGTCATGTGACTTTTTGGAATTGGAAGACGACAATGGGACATGCTTCATTTAAGGACTCAAAATGAGGCAGCGGGGAATTTCTTTTTCTGATAAAAAGTGTAAGGTAATATTTCCCAGAAAAAAAAAAAAACTCACTCCAGCCTGGGATAAAACAAAGTGTAAGAAAGGAATAAGATATAGAAAATGTCACATATCAATAGATAGCCCAGACATGTCATGTCCCCAGTGTTAATTATTTTGTTTCAGGATTTATGCTCACTACAATGGAGACTTTCCGTAAAAATTAAAAAAAAATAATATCCACTGGACTTGGTTTCCAAGATTTGAAGATGTTTCGCCACCTCTCCAGGAAGCTTTCTCAATTAAAATGTCTGGATCCGCAGTGAGTTTGAGTCTTATATAGACAAAGCCTTGTATGATTTCTCAGCCAGGTCCTCCTGATGCAACACAATTATGGTTTTGATATGTATTTTGACAATAGAGTGTTTATAGAACATTCTGCTTATAGGTAATTTAGTTCTCATTGGTTAAGCTTAAAATAAAATGCTTTTTACTACTTCTGTTTTTAAACAACTTAAAACAAAAGCTCTGCTGATAGAAAAAAAAAGAAACACAGGAAGATTCTGTTGTTCTCTGCATTTATTCTTTTCATTGCCGAACTCTTTGTGAATCCTCATAAATATGTTACAGAGTGAGAACATCAGTCTAGTTATTTACAAGATAAAATAACGTACAACTCACAATGTCTGCTTGTTGAGGCGTGGAGGCAGAGAGAGAGAAAGGAAGGAGAGAAAACAACTAGAGCTGCTTTTACAGTTCATCTGATGGGATGCAGACTAGCAAGACTGGAGCTTTGCCTACAGAAAGGAAAGGACCTTGGAGGAAGCAGCTGCTGTTGGGTGGTGTGATGGCAGAATGAACAGGAGTCTCTCTTACAGGTTTCAGTTCACATAAAATACGTTGCAGTAATCTAATAAATAATCTGAGTTGTCCAGCAGCAAAGTGTTCAAAATAATTGGGTTACTTAGCTGTTTTTAGACTCAGCAAACTGATATGAACCTGCACTTAAAAGGACAACAAAAGTATGAAATTAAATAGGAAAACATGGATGTGGTTCAATTTGTTAAGACTCTGGATCATCAGCTTTTACTTCCCTCTTCTTGAACACAACTTCAGCTGCTATGGAACCCCAAAAAAAACAACAACGACGATTCAAACACTTAAAGAGTTTAAAAATACTGGATTTTTACTGTTAGAAACAAAAAAGAAATGCTGAAAGGTTATGTCTTACAAGGAACACGCAAGTTTAAAAACTCATTGAGGACCATAACTGTTTTTTTATTAATGCTGCCTAAAAAATTATTTAAACTTAATGTATAGGAGTAGTACATATTATAGCATTGACTTTAAGTAGGGTTTAAGTAGGGACTCGGTCTCCTGATTTATTTTTTTGGAACCTGGTATTGTTGAGTCACTTCGGGAAAACAAACCAGCATCTGTCCTCAACCATCAATAAATTACCTGCTGTTTATACCATAACGAACGGTTATTTCTAAAGTTTGGCTGCACAATGTATTATTTTTCAGATATTGATCTAACAGGTCCAGATTTTTCCTCCCAATCTGATTTTACTCTCTCTGACATTCAGTGAGAGAAATCAGGGGAGCTTTTTCCTTGTTAGTCTGCCTCCATCATATCTGCTTTGCCTGTTATCCCCGGCTGTAGGGAAGTGCCGTTTAGAAAGCAGCTGAAACTTCAGTCATAAAGTATCTTTTCTATAATAGTGTAACGCGCTGTAATAATCATACCATTAAAGAAAGAATATAGTGGGGCTTGTTTAATGAATTTCAGTGTTTGTTTCCAACAAACACTGAAAGGTAAGTTAGAAAAGACAAAAACAGACACGTCTTCATCCAGCAGCTATTTAACTACCAGCTCTAAACAGCCTAGAGGATATTGTTTCACCTTGTCCTAAACGGAGTAAAACTAAGTGAACACAGGCATTGTGGCATTTCAGCCTCACTCCAAAGGAAGCCGCTAACAATAACAAACTCTTGATGTAATGGATCAGCTATCTTTATGGGGACTAAACATTGAGCTGCAGCAGACTTCCAACCCGCCGACCTGATGCCTGTGACGGTTGGTGATCCCGAATCTCGAGGCTCAAAGGTTAATATGAAATCCATTCGGACGTGTGCAGCTGAAGCTAAAGTATGAAAAACCTTCTAATAGCTACTTTTAAAGATAGCGCCCAGGCTCTCATGGTTTGGATGTGGTCAGCAGTGAACCAGATGATGAATTCCTCTGCCTGCAGCCTGGACCAGAGCATGTTGACGGATCAAAACTAGATCAAAGCAGTAGAGCTTGATACTCCTACAGGGACAAGTTCAATAAACAAACACTCTTCACTGCAGCCATTTTAGCTCCTGACTGACGGAAACGAGGCGACTTAAATCTGAGGATTCTGTAACAAACTGAAAAAAGCTGCTGTGTTTTTTAACGAGGTGATCCCAGCAAGTAAGGAAGTAAAATGATCACGAGTCACGCTCTCAGAGTAGAAATGGTGTTATAGGCTGAGGGGGTTGGGAGGGTTGTGCGTTTCGTCTTAAGTGCAAAAGATTGAGTCTCAGAGGGAGCTCTGGAAAAAAGGAAGAGCATGTGGAGAAAAGAAGGCATTTTTAATTGCTAGAGGTGAGAGCTGTTCAGTCTCACCATCACACCACACACACCATTGAAATGAAGCTAATGAATCTTCTGGAGGCGTCGGTCCTACTGTCAGTGAGTGGGGTGGGGGTGGAGGTCGCTGAGGGGCAACATGGGGATGTGAGGCTTTCTTAGATGGGCAGCTGGAAGGTGATGTCCACTTGAGCTTCTTTTGCCAAGGAAACTATTTCTGAAAGCTTTACAACCTGCAAACAGACGACAAAAACCTTTTTAGCTGCTTCACATTTTACCACTTAGTCATTTGGTAATTACGGTGTTTTGATTAGTTTGTATTCGACTTTTTCAAGTCACTAAGTAAACTGATTTTCTCAAACTCTTTACTAGAATAAACAATACACACAATTCTAAAACTATAATTATTATAAATAAACTGATCAGTCTCTGGTTTCAGAGGTTACTATGACTCATGTTCAAACCTGTGAGTCATTCCTGCTTTCAGCTGAATAAAAAGCAACACTGCTTTCAGCAACGCTTTCATTCATCAGGTGTTTGGTTGTAAAGCTAAAGCGACCTTTCTGCTCACACCTCACCTCATCTCTCCCCTCTTTCTCCAGCAGCTATATTCTCCTCTGTTTTTCTCTGGTGCCGTCAGAATCAAAACAAAGACCCTAAAATAAAATGTTGTTTTTTTTACCATTTTTGCAGCTTCGTCGAGGTCGTCACATGCCAGGATTTTGAGAGGACTGGCAGCGATCAGAGCTTTGGCATCATCCACTCTCGTCCCTAAAGACACACAGAAAGCTTTTTGTCAAGAATGAGTCTTTTTCTAAACCAGAGAAGCTCGATGCCGTATGTCAAAATGACATCATGGAGCAAAGAAGCAATAAGAGATCGACTGATATGGATGATCGCTTGCAGCTGATCAAAGACTATGGTTACTCTAGCAACTGTCAAGAAGAATAAGGTTTTAGTATTTTCACTCCAAAACATTTTGAAGCCACCTTATTGTATTTATCAGATGCGTCTACAGGGCCAGACATCTACAGTAGCAGCCATTTAAAATCACCCTCCCCAGTCAAACGCCAGCCGAATCTCAGACTACTCCCCTCCAACTTCCAGCCAATGGCCTTCTCCTGGGCATGCATTTTTTTTTTATTTTTTTTTTTACTCAAACTCCACTCTTTCACTGAATTACAGGGGCTGACAAGGAGATGTTGCTTCTCTTTAGATCTTAATGTCTACAAATCATGACAGAATATTTTAGTACAAAGATCGATGTTTAAAAAGCAATTGTAGGTGACCAGCCAAGGATCCATCAAGGAAAGTGGGGAAATTTTGAACGGCTACCACTGTATGCATCCTTGTCTTTGCCTTATTTTAATCAGAGTTTATTATGGGTACACCTAACCACAACAGGAAGGATTAGGGTTTAAAGTTGTCTTTCTCCAATAAAGGGTATATTCAATCATTTCTTTAAGACAGAGTGAAAAAAGAAAGAGAAGCAATGTGCTAAAGGGGACTAGAGACAGTCCTGCAGTTTATAGCAGCTACTGAATGCAGAGTTTTAAATAATAATGACTCCAAGGTCGAAGTTAAGCAAACAGAATAAATAAACAGCTTTTCTGACCAAAAAGTGAAAAATGTAATTTAAAATGTAATTTAAAGTTTATGAAAAGATGCAGTGACTAAAAGGAGGATGTCTGCTTGTGGAACCATTGTGATGCCAAAATAGGAAGCAGGAGCAGAATAGGCCATCCTCAGGGAAACAGCTCCAAACAAATATCTCTTTGCATATTTCATTGTTCTGCCACCAGCAAGGGATTCAAGCAAGCAGACAAACACCGCAGCCTCCGCTGCTCTCCCCTGATTATTGAGACTGTACAATATAATGCATAAACCACCACAATAAGCCACAGCTAAGATTAGCTTGACTTGGTGCATTTTTCCCCAAGTGAGAGTTTGAACTAAGAGACACACAGAGACAAGGCGTCCTGCAGAGCTGCCAGCTTCTGTTAGACAAAGATGAAGGTAAATACATGACAAGCTTTCTGTTTAGGGACTGTTCTCCATTCGACTGGACTGTCTGTTTGATTTGGGTCGAGATATCAGAGTTAAGCCTCCATGAAAGCAAAGAAGAGGTAGCCTCAGGGAAGTTTAAACAAAGCTACTGTTTTATATGCTTTCCTCTTACTGTACTGAAATGAAAGTATCTGCGTGTTTTTTTTTCCTTTTACCTCTTTTTTGTGCTTTTAATCATTTAATCCATCCCTCTGTTGAATAAGAAGAATTCTTGTTTATATGGAGGGATTTTAAGGATAGTTCTGGATCAGAACAGATCAGTGTGGTGGGTAGAATCTAAAAATATTCAGCTTTGTCTTATCAGTAAATGCACCATATTGGTGCAAAGTCATGATAACAATACTCAACCTGAGTGAAGTTGGCCCCCAACCTTCCTTAACCCATTTAGGCCGGGAAAGCATTACCGCATTTCTACCATTCAAGCCGGGGGTGCTGTTGCGTCATTCTACCATTGACGCCGGGAGAGCATATAAGTCAAGCAAGAAGAAAGAAGTTTTTTTCAAGCAAACATGGAGGAGTTTGACAGAGAAGAGTTGTCGGAAGGCAGTGATTTTGAGGAGTGTGTCGGCTTTGATGACGGTATAGATGAAAATGATGACTTTGAACGCGCTGAACCAATCGAACTACCACCGCAATGCACTGAGTGTTTTCAACCGCACACCTGGAGTGAAAGTTGATTTGCCTGCAGACGTCACACCGCTGCAGGCATTTGAGCATATTTTTAATGAAGAACTTTGGATGCATCTTGTTACCGAGACGAATAGGTACAGTGACCAAACAAACCAAACTCCAACAAGAGCAAAGATGGCAAAGTGGTCACCCGTGACTGTGACGGAGATGAAGACATTTATTGGGCTGTGTATGTAAACCTCTCTTCAGGACGCAGTTCCCCCAAAATATGTCCCGGGACAGATTTGTGGCCATCTGGAGGTAAGTTGTATGCAATTTATAACACAGACATATGCATTATTATGCATAATAATACTGTTAATAAGTAATCATCAGATAGTTATTTATGTAATGTTTGTTCTTTATTTTGAAAACGTTTTATATTGCACATTCTCAATGAAGACATGATCACATATGGAAAAAATAAAAGGTTGAATTTTTTTTTTGATTACTGCTTTTCACATTTTTTTTTTGGAAGAATTTCAAAGATAAAATATATTTTGAGTTCTATCTGCTACAGAAGCTGAGATATCAATAATTTAGGCGTTGACACAGTTGCTGAATTTACAGAAAAACTTCAGGTTTTAGGGGTATTTTTTAAAATCGGCCATAGGTTTTTAAGGTGTTTTTTCCAGGCGTTTTAGGCCTAAATGGGTTAAATCAGACAAAATTTGTGTCAAACGCTTGTGCTACGATTGTGCTGGTTTGTGCAGCAAAAATTGTCGTTTGTGTTGCTTTGGCTTTGAAGATATTAATGAAAATGTAAAGGTCAACCAGCCCCCCCACTTTCTTCAAATTAGACAAAATTGGTGTCAAACGTTTGTGCTACGTTTGTGCTGGTTTGTGCAGCAAGAATTTTCATTTGTGCCGCTACCATTTTAAAGATATATAGAAAGGTTTCTAGAAGTCGTTAAAGGTCAACCAGCCCCCCACCTTCTTCAAATCAGACAAAATGGGTGTCAATTAACTCGGCTCCGTTTGTGCTGGTTTGTGCAGCAAAAACAGATGTTAACTGACCTTTGATGATCTCTACAAAATATTATTAATATCATTGAAATGATAGCAGTACAAATGACAATTGCCATACAAAAATATAAAATTTTAGAATTAATTTTAATTATAATATATTTAAAATAAATATATTAAAAATTTAAAAATGCATATTTTAAAATATTTAAATTTTTTGTACTGCTAACATTTTAATTATATTAATAACTGTTTGTGGAAGCCATCAAAGGTCACTGAACATTTGTTCATTCTGAAACTTTGAATTTCATATAAATTATAAGTTGCTAACCTATGATTATATAATTTTAAACTGTAAAAAAATGATAGCGGCACATACGAAAATTTTGGCTGCACAAACCAGCACAAACTTTTGACACCAATTTTGTCAAATTGAAAGAAGGTGGGGGGGGGGGGGCTGGTTGACCTTTTGACCTTTACATTTTCATTAATGTCTTCAAAGCCAAAGCAACACAAAAAAAAATTTTTTTGCTGCACAAACCAGCTCAAACGTTTGACAACAATTTTGTCTAATTTGAAGAAAGTGGGGTGGCTGGTTGACCTTTAATGACTTCTAGAAACATCTCTTTATATCTTTAAAATGGTAGCAGCACAAAAGAAAAATTTTGCTGCACAAACGTAGCACAAACGTTTGACACCAATTTTGTCTAATTTGAAGAAGGTGGGGGGGCTGGTTGACCTGTTGACCTTTACGTTTTCATGAATATCTTCAAAGCTAAAGCAGCAGAAACGAAAATTTTTGCTGCACAAACCAGCACAAACCGAGCTAAGTTATTGACACCCATTTCGTCTGATTTGAAGAAGGTGGGGGGGCTGGTTGACCTTTTGATGACCTCTAGAAATATTTCTTTATATCTTTAAAACGATAGCGGCACAAACAAACATTTTTGCTGCACAAATGTAGCACAAACGTTTGACACTAATTTTGTCTGATTTGAAGGAGGTGGGAAGGCCAACTTCACTCAGGTCAATACTCATCTGTGATGTTGCAGAATGAAAAGACTCATTAGCCATTTGTCATTGTCAGTGATCAAGTATCTAAAATGAATCCAAAGGAAGCAAAGAAGTGGGGTGTAGCTATTTAAAAATGCTTTTAAAACATGATAGGAAGAGACATGAGGCTCATTTTTAATGAAACATGAGAGCAATTTACAGTTTTAGGCATCAAATAAGGTTAATTAATAAGAAGCGGCTGTCAATGGGAAAAATTAAGGTTAAAGGACTTTTTCTTAGCTATTTAATGCAGTGACCAAGTCTACTTATCACTAAATGTTCCAACTCGGACATAGGATCACCTCCTGCAATCAGAGCATCCAATCAGAGGTCTCCACTTCTCTGGCTCTTATTCCTCCTGCTTGATAAATAACTTTCAAGTCCAGCCTTTAAGTTAGAATATTCAAACTTCTTATTCTAAGAAGTTTGATAAATTTACTGCTGAACTCAAATCATTTTCTTTTTAAAAGAAAAAACTCCACTCTAAAACACACAAGGTAACCATGCCTGTTTCTATAAAACATGAATACAAAGAGGGATCAAAAGCTGATAATAAAAAAAAAGACAAAGTTTTTAAAATTCTCTAACTTCTGATCAGTTCATCTAAATATTTATTCTACTAACTGAGGGAAATCAAAGTTTATGTAAACAGTTTTTTGTGAGTTATGCTCTCTAGAAAGCAAAGACCTGAACGATGCATCTAAACTCATGTGAACCAATGAGTTTCTATCACTCCTTTCATCACTACTTCCAAATTAGGCTCAGATTGATCATCTCACACAATCATTTCCAATTCCAGCCCTATGATGTATTATTAGAGATAACATCATTTAATTTCTGTTATAAGTGCTCAGTTTTAGGAAACCAAAGCCCATAAATGTGTGCAGGATGAGTTTTACCCTAAAGCAGACAATAAATTCAGGTGAAGCCCTTTTAAGCTTGGTGTTTGGTCCTCCATCCTAATATTAAAGAAAGGATCATGAAGATTTTCACTGTAGAAATCTGGTTTATTTTATTCATTTTTTTTTGTTACCATCAAATATTCAGAGGAAGTCAGTCAAGAGGATCCTGATCAAACACTTGAACCGTGAAGGAATTCCTCACCTCGTCTCCAAGGGTAAGACACACTTCAAAGGAGACTAAATTAGGAAGTTCCTGTTTGCTTATTTATCTCAAACTTTGGGACAACAGATGAGGATTATAATGAGATTAGCAAATAAAAGTCTTTACTCCCTTTTCCCCACAGCAATAAAACAAAGACCCCAGTCACTGCTGAGGATGCTGCACAGCATCTGTCAAGCACTCTTCAGGGATATACGATAAATAGCAAAATTATATGTTGCAGGAAATCTAATCTACAACAATCTCCTCTTGTTTGCTTTTTATGAGTTTTTACCAAGTGTGTGTTCTGCTCTGTGTACCTTGTAACCGTACTACGATGGGGATTTTGAGATCTAGGTCTCTGACAGCCATAATGATGCCCTGGGCGATGACATCACACCTCATGATGCCTCCAAAGATGTTGACCAGGATGGCCTGCACCTAGATCACATGGAACAAAGAGACAGAAACAAACATCAGATACAAATATGGAACTTGGCGACCTGAAACATCCATTTAAGTAGAGCGTTTGCTGTGGAGCTGTTGAGTTTTTACCTTCTTGTCTGAAGTGATGAGTTTAAACGCCTCTGTCACCTGATGAGCAGTGGCTCCGCCTCCTACATCCAAGAAGTTGGCCGGTGTGCCTCCGTGGAGCTTGATGATGTCCATGGTGGCCATTGCCAGACCAGCACCATTTACTAAAGACAAGGAAGGCCCGATGGTCTAATTAAAACAATATTATACTACATTTATTAAAGAGAACTTTGATAAATGTAGTATGTAGCAGAAAGAAAAATAGCAGAAAGGACAGGTAAGAGAAACTATTTTCAAGGCATAGTGGAGGATGTTCTTTTTCCGAGTGGATCATCTAAATAAGTGGTCCTTCTAATTGTCAATCATTGGGGTGATATGTTTACGTAAGGCTCTCCTACGTGCTCGTCACCATTTTCACTTACCGGTGGAGAGTCTAACATAGTGAAAAAACTGCCAATCTCCTTTTGGAAAGTAAGCTTGTATGAGTGATGCAAACAGCAACTTTTAAACAGAGCGTGCACCAGGAGAAATGGGCCCCTGCATGCTCTCGAGAGCGCGTACAGGGTTGTGCATGTACATGATTTAATCAAAGTGGAGAGGGTGGAGCTTTTCAAAAATGAGCAAAAATCCTCCCCTATGCCTTTAAATTATATTATGTTCTCCAAGTTATGCCGGCAGTTAATACTGGCTGCAAGAAAATTAAAGGTTAAAACTAAAAAGAATTTTTAAAACTTGATCTTTAGGAATTAAGATAGGAATTGATCCAGATTTGGAATATTTTTCGTGTTTTTTTTTTAGTTTTGATTTTTTTTTAGAAAGGCCTAATAAAGACTTTAACATCCGTCAGTCATAAAAACTGCAGCCAACCATCAAAACAACCTCAGTAATCAGGTCAGATTGAACTATAGAAATGTTAGCAACACAAACTGTACTTATAGTAGCAGTAGATGCTAAAGGCTATTCACATCAACTACATATTTTTGTTGTTGCTTCATTTGTATTAGGAGACGCTGCTCCACAGCACATGCCCTCCCTCATATTCCCAACATGAGGATCATTCTTTCTGCTGCTACTATAAATATTCACTGAAAGCTCGTCACCAGAGGGCGTCCTAAACTAGTTAGCTTTTAAAAAGAATCAGAATGAGCAAAATTGAGTGTCAGCAGCTCAGGCTGAACTAAAACCAGATCAAAAGCTGACCGCAAACTTTACAAACAAAAAGACTTTCATATTTTAAATCTAAACTTTTGAAGAGATAAGAAAAAGACTCTTCCTGAAAACTTTTTTGGTTCTTTTTTTTTATATGCAAAAATTACTTCTCTTAACTCAACTGGGAAAACTAACAACCTACATGAAGATTGAAATATTAAAATAAAGATATTAAAAAAAATAAAAAAAATCCCTTAAAATCACAAACCCAGGCAGCCGATAGTCCCGTCCAGGCCTATGTAGTTGAGGTCAGCCTTGGCGGCCTGCTGGTCGCGGGGGTCCTCCTGACTCCAGTCGCGCATTGCGAACACTTTCTCCTGGCGGTACGCTGCGTTGGAGTCAAAGTTGATTTTGGCATCCATGCACATCACTGTTGACATATTGGGACAAAGAAAATTTTAGCTCTCATTGAATGATTACAGTTTCTGAAAAACTGTTGAATTTATACATTAATCTCCTATTAGTTGGTTATAACCTGTGCTTGGCAGGTCAAATATTGAAAGATCAGATTTTTTTCCTAGTGTTAAAATGCATTTGAAATTAATATTCTCCATTTTGCTTTCCTTTGATGCAATTTGCAGGCTAGCATTAGCATGATATTTCTCTGTTATTTCTCTGTTTGATGGGAAGTTTTTGAAGAGTGTTTTCAAGACAGTCCAAGTAAAACCAGCTCAGGCAAACTTTTGTTCAGGATTTGTAATTTTTTTTGTAGAAAAAAAATATCCTGTTTATGTTTTATGGAAAATAAAATCCACTTTTTATGCTTAATTTTAAAGCTCAGCATGACTGCTGGAGAGAAATCATTAGTCATCGAGATATTTGATTTATACCACATAAAAAAAAAAAAAATTATATTGGCTTTAGCTGGAATGTTCTAAGAAAAAAAAAACACAAGTTGGGAAATCCTGATTTGCACAAATATACTTCACTTTTGAAACATAATAAATAAAAAAAATAAAAAAATGCTATAATTTGTAAACTGGCTGCAAGAATAAAAATGCTCCAGAGGGCTAACCTTAGGTTTAGTGGACATATAATCCCAACAGGCCGCTTTGGTCAGGGATCTAATATCTACAATACATTTTGGCTTTTACCTGAATTAGTTTATGCTAGTTAATGATAGCTAATGCTAATTTTTTTTTCCCCAAAGCGATCTTCGGTTTTATAAACAATCTATATCAGGGGTCGGGAACCCGTGGCACGGGATCTGCATGCGGCTCTTTAATGCCCCCGTTGCTGCTGCCTGGAACTTTTTCAAAAATGAAGAAAATGGAAAAAGATGGGTTTTTTGTTTGTTTGTTTTAATATGGTGTGCAGGAGGTCAAACAAACATTCATTATGTTGATTTATTCCAGTCTGTGACCCAAATCAGACTTTTTTGCCCACATGCGACCTGTATCGGATCTTTTCATGACAGTCTGAACAACTCAGCTCTGTTTTTTTTCCAATGCGACACAGATCGCTTGACTATGTGATCCTGAATCTGATACAAAGCTGATCTTTTCAAATGCGGCCTGTGTCTAAACGGCCAGGACGCATTAATTCGACCAGTATGCCATTAATAGAAGAAAAAGGTCCCTATTCTGTGTCTTGCACAGGAGATCACATATACAGGTCACATATATTTGGAAATGTGAACGGCAACCCCCAAAAAAATCAAATTTCACAAAAAAAAATCGTAATTGAACATTAAGGCCTGCAGTGTGAACGTAGCCTTATATTGTAGTGAGTTACTAACATTTCAACATTAGCATCATCCCAGTCATCATAAGCTATGCAGCTCTTTCAAAAAACAATCATAGAAATTCTGGAAGAAAAAAAAAGATTCATCAGTAAAAATTATGAAATTAGGAATGAATTAAGATAAAACTGTCTCTGCTACTGGAGTCGAGCAAAATCTGGAACAGCAGCAACAAGGCCCCATTAAGGCATGAACACATTTATTGGCATGGCTGGTAAATATGTATGAAAAGCCTTAAAACAGAAACGTATATGACCAAACGAAACAATGCAAAAAAAAAAAAAAAGTTTTAGTTTAAGTACATTTACTCAGTGGGGATCTCCTGATCATACTTTGTATGACATACATGTTGCCAATAAAGCAGCTTTAGGTTCTCTGTAACCTTCAACCCAAGCCAGAGAACAGGAACAACCATCTTTGAGCTTCCCTCAGTGCACATCCTGTCCACAGCTCTGGCTACTGCTCTACAGAACAGCGTTTAGGTCTGAGATGGCTGTGAAAGGAGATTGCTTTTTGTGGATTCATCATTTCTGGAATTATTTTAGCATTTTTTTTTTTCTTACTAAAAAAAAACAAATATACCCAATTTACACTTACTGGGTGACGCCACAGGATTTCTCTTTAAAAAGTCACAGTTGCTCAAAGAGTTCATGATTCTTAGCATTCTGACAAGCTTCCCGACCCCACCTAAAGTGTAACCATAATATTCACTCCTTCAATGTGGCAGAAGCTCTTTGTTCCCGACTCCATATGTTTACATTTGCATTTCTAGATGTTTTCCCACGTCTTAGAGTGAAAAATACCAAACTAACACTAGGAAACTCATCTGTATGAAATAAGTGAGAAACTGGGTATGTAGTGATGAGAACATCCTCATTAAGAAACCTTGTTTCTACCCAAACAGGAATTGGTTGGATAGAAACTAAAAGACTAAAAAAAACAAACAAAAAACGCCATCATACTTTCAACAACATTCCCAATAATCACAGCTTTGTTCATACCGACGCCAGAGGAGTCCTCCACCATGGGATTGATCTCCACCATGGAGGCGTCATACTTGATGAAGAGGTTGTAAAGCTTGATCATGTTCTCCGCTGCCTCATCAACCAGAGCTGCTGGGAAGCCCATCTTCTGAGCGACCTGTGGCGACACACGGAGCACATCACAGACCGATTGTCACACCTCATGAAGACATTAGCTGCACTCCATGCTAACATTTACAGAGGATAATAGTAATGCTTTGGATCGATGTTTTGAATCGCTATCTTTAGCAACAGCTGGAAGATGCTGACCTTAGGAGGATCACTCTAGAATAGACTCAATAACAAACCTGATAACTGCAATAGTCTAAATGTTATCTATATGCTAACAGTGATGCAGAATCTAAAGCTCCGCCTCTAAACTATTATCAGGCTCAAAAGAAACCAAGCTAAATAGAAATGACTGAGACACAGACAGTTTGCCATTACAGCTGCATTGAACTGAGAAAGCAATTATTTGTTTGTGTGACACTTTAGGTCTTGTTGAGCTTCGGTAAATGTAATAATACATTTCAATAATAATGTAATCTTAATACCAGGGATGGGTGATAAATAGTTATACTGAATTTCATATTACAAAGTACCGCTAATTTTACTTGAGTAAACATTTGGGCTAGCTGCTCTTCCCTAGGGTAACTTTTCTGGAGAACAAGGAAGTTTTCACAAAAAAAAAGCTTCAGACACTAGGGTTGTCAAAAGTATAAATACTTTTCAGTTTCAGACTTTTTTTGTAACAGGTGCAGCTGCTGAGAATTATTTTTGTTTAACTGGTTTGGCCAATGTCATTTATATGTGTGCAAAGCATAGCCAAGGAAGGAACACTTAATTTTAATTTTATAAGTTTTTTATCAAGCTTGCTTAATATTGTGCACATTATACAACCTCAAAATATTGTTCTTATTGTTTATTGTATTTATTTATTGTATTTTATTTATAAATGAAAATATTTCTGTAGAATTTTGGAGTCTTTGTTTTTATCCTTGTGGTATCGAAAATGATATCGAGTATCAAATATTTTCCTTAGTATCGGTATCGAGTTGAAAAATTTAGTATCGTGAAAACCCTATCAGACACAGAACAGTTTATGGTAAAGTGATGATTCTTGTTTGCTCATAAGTTTTTCTTTTAGTGTAGCTTACTATCTGCTGAGTTATTAAGTTAATAGGGATTAACCAGTACATGCTGTCACTGAAAGGACTAAAAGTAATTGTCTGTTTATTTGTACTTAAACTTTGATGAAATCATAATCTGAAATTATCCCAAAGGTTGGTGAAGATTCCCAGTCATCTAGGTTATAGTCATTCTAAAAAAAAAACCACTGGACTTTGTTTCGAAGTCTGAAGACGTTTCTCTTCCCATCCAGGAAGCTTTTTCGGATGAACAGGAATGGGATTTGACCCCCATTCCTAAGGGGTGGAGCCGTTCGTCCGGTTTAATTTGCATGTTTTCTAAGCCAAAACAAGGCTTTGTTTTTTTTCCACTTTATAAAGCTTGGAACTCAAAGCTAACTGTGACATTTTGAATTGAAAAAGCTTCCTGGATGGGAAGCGAAATGTCTTCAAACTTGGAAACAAAGTCTAGTGGATTATTTTGTAACTTTTTTGGAATATCCCAAAAGTTTTCTTAAGTCCATTTTTTTCCCAGCTGTACCTGAATGCAGCATTTTGCAGCAGTTAGGCAAATTCCCTCTGCATCTCCTACTCTGTATATGTTCATGTATGAGTTTGGAGGAACCATGGACCTTAATGCAGACATGAGGTTTTGGTTTAGTTCACCTTCCTTTCTGCACAGTAGCTCTAGTTTGATGCAATCTGGGAGTGCACTCCATTTTGCTCTGGTGTATTTTTTAAATGCAGACCTAGTGAAGATTGGCCACTTAGATCAGCAGTGAATCACTCTGCATGTGTTCAGGTATAAATCAGTTTTTTTTAAAACATGTAATGAACAATCAAGGCTGATATTTACGAAGATACCTTTACCGCCCCCAACATTCAGAATGATCTACTGAGTTTTTAAGTTCCATAGGTCAGAACACAGAAATATTATCTTTAATCTGAAATGAAAAAATATTTTCTGCTCAACAGGAATGTAAAAAAATAGCTGCTTTTATTCAGCTAATAATTATTCTTTAACTTTACTTCTGAGTTTGTCAGGCATCAAAACATGAAACTTTAATAAGAAGCAGCTATCAATGGCAAGAATGAAGATTAAAGGACTGTTTTTAGTTATTTAATGAAGTTACTAAGTCTGTTTCGCAGCAAACAAAATGTTCTAACTTTGATGTAGGATCAGCAATAAGAGCATCCAGTCAGAGATCACCACTTCTCTGGCTCTTCGATTTCTCCTGCAGCTAAAGTCAAACAGTTGAAGCAGACAGCTTTGTCCAATATTGATTATACCTTGACAGCTTGGTCCTTTTTAATACCCTCCACAATGTCGATGGGCTCTTTCACAATGGCGTCTGGATTTTCTGCGGCCACATCTTCGATGTTCACGCCCCCCTGTGAGCTGCCAATCAACACAGGACCCTGAAAGAAACAGGAGATGGGGCATGAAGGCAGTTGTAGTCTCAATATAGATTAAACAAGTTTGGAAAAGATTCACTTTTTGAAGGTGTTGTAAAACAGCTTCTCACTGGTTTATAACTTATTTTCTGCAAAGTACCGGTAGTCGTATCACTTCAATTGTGCCACAGCAGAAAATAACGCTGCACCTTGTTTGAGTCATTCTGACAATTTCTTCTAATGCAAATAAAACACCTGCGAAGCAGAATTCATCTAGACTATTGGCTTAGTTTAACCAGCATTCCAAAGAGCTTTAGATTTTTTATTGGGTTTGTAAGAATAAAAAACAAACAAAAACAGGGATGAAAAATCAGTCACGCATTCTTATCACTGAATAAAATAATTAACAGAGTGTCTAAGCAAAGGATCCATATTCATTTTAAGGCATTCAGCTGTATCACAATACATTAATCACTTCAGCTCTCAGACGGATTGATTGTGAATGCTAACTATTAGCTGCAATGACGAGCTGCGTTCGACTGAAGATTGCAGCTGCATAAATAAAAACTTTTTCAGTCTAAAGATCATGAAGAGAAGCTGTGCAAGATCCAAACCCCCGTTCTCTGGTTTCTCCAACATATGATGCATAAAACCCTGAGGAGTTTCATCACCTCCCTTTATTCCACTTTCCTTCTGCTGTAGGTGGATCAATCACACCAGGAAGACACCTGGTGAGATTAATTGAGATTGGCTACAGAATATTAATACTAAACTATTTTTTCCTCAGGAAGATATCAGGATTCCAGTATATGTTAACTATATAAAGTGTCCCCCACTTCAATAACTGGGGTCTTCCTTGCAGAGTGATTAACAAGCAGGCAAATTGATTTAATTACAGGCTGAGGTCAGAAACTCAAGACTGGTTAATTATAGTGTGATTAAATATTCTGTGTGTTTACACTCCTCTACTGTGTCTAACTGATCTAAATCTGGGACGCAGCTTCTTCAGGGACTCCTCCTGTCATGCATAAGTAATGTCAACAAATAATTAACACTTACTTTTGATACAACACTGCCCCCAAGTGGTATCATTCTGCATTAGTTAGAACAACTCTGTGCAAAAAGTGGACGCTGCAAACCTTAATGATGGTCTGATAAGTCTGACTTCATGTAACTGATGTGTTATTTTCAGATGGCATCTTAAACCCATGATCAAACACATTTAGAGATATAAAAACGCAGCCCCAGTCTGATAGAGGGCTCCCTCACCTGAAAAGACCTCTCCATAGTGATGGCGAAGTAGTACTCTCTGCGTGGGTATCTGCGCTCACAGATGAACACCTGGTTGCAGATCCGACCCGCCTCTCCGGTCTGTTTGGTGTAAAGTTTTCGACCAATCATCTGAGAGGAAATTTCTCGGGCCTCCTCTGGGCTACAGATAAACAGATAAAGTTTAATAATTCCTTGACATACGTAATTTATTTCAGGAGTAAAAAAGGAGCAAAAAGCAAGTTTACAGTTCAACCGAAGCTAAAAATCATTGGATTTCAGATCATAGATTCAAAGCAGGTCAGGGTGTTTTATGAAACTTCGCAGCATAATAAACATCAACTTTTATTATTTTCACAGTTGTATGGAATGTAACTATATAAGTCAGTTTAATCCATGTGCAGGTAAAAACCTTGTGTTAGTAGCCTTGGGAAGGGTAGAGTGTCAAGGCCTGGTCAGCCTTGGGACAGCAGCCAATAATGATAAAAAAGCCCCAAGTTAGTGGGAGAAATCAGCAGCGGCATTCAGTCTGCTGTGCAGGATGATACCTGTGATTCAAGTGGAAGAGCAGCCACAGGAATAACTCTGCTTGTAGAAACATGTCAAATAAATTTCTCTTTATGTGAGAGAAACTCCTTCAGAGAGAGCAAACAACTTCGACATAAAACTCTCTATAGTTGTATATTGATTATTGAATCCTTCTAGAAGTACAGTATTTATACTGTAAAAACACTGTACATTTTTTTATTGGTTGTTAACTCTGTCACTTATTCTGTTATTTTTAAACACTTTCTTTTAAGGTCCTTATTTGTGTGAACACCTTTGCTATAATCTTTTGCTGCTGTAACACCAAAATTTCCCCATTGTGGGACAATAAAGGGATTTTCTATTCTATTCTCCACAGAGTTTAGGACGCCATAGAAAAGCCATGACACACTTTATCTACTCAATGAGAACCAGGAGGATAGAGCGAGAACTCACTGAGTTTTAACTTCTAGACCTCAGAGAGTTTAACTTTAGGCTTATTGAGCCTAAGTTTCAATGAGAAGAAATGCAAAGTATTATGTCAAAATGTATTATTTTATTTTCCAACTAAGCAATTTAGTTCAACTGTGTTTATTTTTTTACATACATTTAAATCATCAAAATCAATCAATGCATTTTAATAAATATCCAAATATGTAGTAGTTGTATGGTAGGAAACTAAGACTGAGCAATAAGATATCTGCAATTTAATCACAAAAATGCACTTTCAAAAACAATTAGATTTTACTCTGTTTGCACAAAAGAAAAACCCTAACATTCCAACTGCAGCCCTCTTAGACGGTATTAATACACATATAGTGGTTTGTTGCTACACAGAAAAGAAGAGAGTTTCAGGTAGCATACAGACCGGTGCGGCGAGGAACTTTTCTAAGCAACTGTAAATCCAAAGACAGTGGACTCTGGACAACAGAGCATTTAAGGTGGGGATGCAAGTTATTAATTAATGAATTAATCTAAAAATGATTGATTTTATCGATCGACTAACAATGATAAGCAGCCATTTTCTTAAATGTATCAAGACAATCTTTCAACAATATGAAGTACCTTCATATATATATATATATATATATATTTATATATATAAATAGGAGCTTCAGATGCGTGAAGCTGAAACCCCACCAACTTAGCGAAAGGACTGAACGATAATTATTAAAAAATGAAAGAAAAAACAAAAAAGATCACGTTTTTTAAGGATTTATTTTTAAGCCAACTAGAGGTCAACTATGCCCCCATTAAGCTCTGAATGGAATCAAAATGATCTACCTTTTCAGTGCTACTTTATATTTGCAGGTAAAATATCTTTTGTGTTGATTTGGTTTCAAAGAATTATTAAGAATTATTTTGAACAACAGCCGATGGTGTCGCCATCCCAGCAGATGTTAGTGCTGCGCTCGTTTCTTGATACAAAGTTATTGCATAACATCACATGTAATTCCTGTGCTGTTACTGAATATAACAATGGGCAAGTCTTTCGGCATTTCAAAGTAAAAGCACAGGTGAAGCTTAACGTCACAGACTGCCGCTAAATTTTTGTTTATCAACAACTTTGTAATCGCCTTGGGGAGATCTTTTTTTTAAAGCCCCATAAGCTCTGAAAAAAAAAAAAAAGAGTCCACTTTGGTTCATCCAGAGGCAGCTCTGATTCGGTCCGATTCGCCAGGTAATCTACCCCTGCAGAATCCACCAATGCTGGGCAGTGACAGACCAAGCTCTGTGCTGGAGGTGTGTGAGGACGAGCAGTGTTTCTAGGACTAAATTAACTTCTTAAGATCAACCTGACCACAGGCGCTCCATTCTTGTGTATTTACGGAAGCTCTAAATGTGTTGATACACCAAACGTCATAGATACCGTATTTTCACGACCATAAGGCGCACCGGACTAAAAGGCGCACTCTCAGTTATGTGTCCCATTTCTGTATTTAACACACACATAAGGCGCACCGGACTATAGGGCGCGTTTTTTATATACAGGTACAAGTCCTCTACTACCTTGAAATACCTCTACTGCGTATTTAAAAATACAGCGGGGGCAAAACTGAGTATGACTGTGCTTTATTCATGTATTTATTACAAAGTATTAATCAAACCTGGCAGCTGGCCGTGAGACAGACACATCGCAGATGACACAGCGCTGTGATCACTCCTAAATTAACTTAAAATCCTGAAACCTGCCGACGGAATATGTTCGCTTTTATTACCAGTATCCTGGTGCCTGCAGCTAAAATTATTTAGATGAAAAACACCTGCCAGCAGCCGCGGTGAACGAAAGGATTTCTCCTGTCGGTGCACCGCTGGTATGTGGGGGTCTGAGCGCCTCCGACAGAAATAGATAATCTGGATGAACTGACTGCAATTATTAAGTTTTCAGGTGGCCTTTCTCACTTAAAAACATATTAAAACTACTTTATTCCCACTGATCACAGCAAATATAGCTGCAAGATTTAGATTATTTAGATGAAAAACACCTGCCAGCCACCGCGCTGAAGAGGAGGAGACGCGCTCAGAGGCAGCTGTTGAATTAAGTTTTCAGGTAGAAAAATAGAGCGGGAGCAAAACTGAGTATGTTTGTGCTTTATTCATGTATTTATTACAAAGTATTAATCAAACCCATCAAAGTCATCATCCTCTGTTATCCTCAGCATTCCTCTGAATAAAACAGCTGCGCTAAATCAGACATGCCAGTTTCCCCTTCTTCGCTGTCAGAGTCAATTTCCGTGCAGCGCAGCTCCTCAGAAATAATGCCGGCTTTTGCGAAAGCTTGAACAACAGAGCCAGCAGACACGTTAGTCCATCTGCAATCCATCCTCAAACGGTGGCGTAACTTGCACGGCGCTGCCTTCCACTTATCCTGAAACTGTGGTCTCCGTCTGTCATCCATCGCTCCCACGCCGCTCGCAGCCTTACTGTGAACGGCCGCTCCACACCGATGTCGAGCGGTGGAAGTTCCTTTGTCAGACCCCCCGGGATAACGGCGAGCACAGCGTTCATTTGATTCATCTTTTTTTCACATCGGCTGTGAGATGGGCACGCAGCGATGGTGATGCGTGGAAAAAACCACCTAGTCTTCTCACATACACCTGCCTCAGCCACGCATCCACCCAGCCTTTTCATTTGCGTTAATATCATATGTCATCAGAGCGATGTGTCTGTGTCGCTGTCAGCTCCCAGATCAGCTTCTCTGATTGGTTGATGCGGCGCGTCCAGCAGCAAAACTTCAATTTTTCCATCTGAGCAGCAGCAGCGCGTTGGCGGTGCGTCAGATGCTTAAACGCTCCCGACGTGCTGCACCAAAACGCGCTGCGGGACCTTTTGCTGCACCTATATGCGCGTCAACCATTGACTTTGCATGTAAACTCGCTGCTTCTGCTGCACCTGCTGGGTCCGGTTCACACCGATGTCGAGCGGTTGAACAGCGAGCACAGGGTTAATTTGTTTCCCCATGTTTTTCACATCAGCTGTGAGATGGGCACGCATGGAGTTACATATTAACAGCGATGGTGAGGGGTGGAAAAAAAAAACACCTGGTCTCCTTACATTCAGCCACTCTTTCATCATCTCCTCAATGAGGTGGTCTCAAAAGTCGCAGTTACAACACACATAGGGCGCACCGCACCATAGGGCGCACCGCACATTTTGAGGAAAAAAAAAGACGTTTAAGTGCGCCTTATAGTCGTGAAAATACGGTAATGATATCTAAACTGCTAAGATTACTATAAAACTTGTCCAGAAGTTGTTATGTCATCAAATGTCAGTTTGGCAGAACTGAAGACTTGAAGTTGTTATTCTGAAGGTAAGAAACAATAGGAGGATGTTGCGTGACCCTACGCTCCTTTAGTTCTCTCCAAAACATAGTATAGAAAACGTGTTACTTAAGTTTGTTTGTAAAGTTTTCTAGTAGGGTGTTACCACCTCTTTAGTTTAAAAATGACACTACGCAAAATTTGAAGTATAAATAAGTCATTTTGTCTTGAAATAGGTATATTTCCTTTGAAGTGAGGAGCTGAGTAAGGCTACATGTCAACAGAATAAGATGATTTAGGTCAAAATAAGGAAATAAGCAACTCCATTATCTTATCTTAAGTGCATAATATCTAACTATTATATCTTAAGGTCAAAAATATGAGCTTCATTGACAGATCATCTTATTTTCCAGCTCAAACTAAGGGAAAAATACACCAATTTTAAGAGAATTTTTCAAGTTTTACTTATTTTTAGATCAGCATTTTTTGTGCAAAGGAGACAGAAAAGCTTCAAGCTCTCATCAGTCACAACAGGGTGACAGAGCTGAAAATAAGAGCTAAGAATGAACATAGCATTTCATTACCTCACATTTTCTGTGAGATTTAACACATTATAACTCATATTCACAATTCAATGCATGAACTGTGTATACTGGCGATGTCTTTATTATCAACGTTGGTGGCAGAGAAAAGCTCTGTTAGTGTTTAAGGATCTGCTGATCAGAACCAGTAGCAGCCCTTTTTTTTTACCAGGCTGCTGTTTGCAGACTTACTTCCTGAATGCATTTAATTAAACCTTTAGTGCGTAATACCACCTTAGTTTATCATCAAACAACCTCCGGATGTTTGTTGAATCCTGAGGCAACAGAACATCAGGAAATGCTGTAAATGTAGTGATAACTTCTGTTGCTTTATTTCATCAAACACAATTTTTACTCCCATTTTAATTCAATAAACATCCACAGTCTCTTATTTCACCAGTATTTTAATGGAGCAAGACTTTTTTTCTGAAGAAACACGGTCGAATGATGTGTAAGAAACTATGAAAATCCTCAAAAATATAAAACGTTTGATTTTAAGAAGACATACTTTCTATTAATCATGCCTGTACTTACGAGTAGACGATCCTCACTCCACCTTTCAGCCCGCCCTCAAACGTGCCCTTCCCTCTGCCTCCAGCCAGAACCTGAGCTTTCACCACCAGATCTTTGGAACCTGAAAACACACAGGATGTCAGAACGCCATCATTCTTACTGTGGCAGCAAACTAATAGGGGAAGCTTACATAAAGAAAACATTAGAAAAACTCAGATTAAAAAACGCTAATGTTTTGTAAAAGAAACTTGAAATTCAACCTATCTCATCACAATGGATACCTTTGTCTGGATCCAAAAAAAAAAGCTGAAAACCATGATGTCACAAAACAGTCACGGTGCGGTATCGGCTGTTGATCAAGTCCCAGAGCTGTATCTGTCACAATGCGCTATTATCCAAGTCATCTTGAAAATGTTGGCTACATATTGCGTGTTTTTTCTCTGGCCAGAAGTTCGATGGCAAATCCTCCCTCTTCAAGTTGGCAATCCAATGACAATCCGTCCATGGAGGATCATGAATCAGAAAGGTGAAATAACTGTTTTTCTGTCACTTTTAACCGCATCCAACTGCCATGCATGTAGCCATTGTCAGTTTAACTATAGTTCTCATGAATTTCAATGGTGAAAACCTCTCAAAATCTTAAATAATTGTTGTTGATTGCAGATGCGTCTCGTAGTTCCCATTTATTTTGCTTGTAAAGCGGGGAGAATGACGTCAAGCTCACCGCACCGTGACGTCACTGCCGGAAGATGTCAGGAGTGAGGTGTTACTGTATTTGGGCAAAAATGGCCGCCACCAGAATCAGTGATTGTAACGAAAATTATTTTTTTGCTGATTAATGCTAAATTCATTAAATGACTGCAAACGTACTAGCTTTAGGTATAAATAATGATCCATTGATTATTCCTTGCTGACTGGACTTTTCCATCAAACATTTCTTTCAATATCACCTTTCTTAATAAAGGACCTGTTCTGGTTTTTCATCTTTATTTGCAGAACACTGAACTCGGGCGTTTTAGATCTTAAAAAGTTAAAAAGTAAAAACTTATTTTTCATTGGAGAATTTATCTGATAGAGTTTTGTACAAAATGATGAACTTTGATTTATCCTGGCATGGAGATATAGGGTGTGGTGTACCACAAAAAACAGAAGGATTCACTCCTAAAGCCCTGCCTTTTTCTGTGAAACCAGCTTAGAAAATGTTGAAGAAGAGGAAATAAAAATGGAAAAGATATTGGAACTAAAGATTTAGTAATTTGAGGCCAATGCAGATTAAATTGACATCAACCATCATTAAAATAATAGGGGCTGCTGATTTTGGGGGGATTCTTGAAGCAGAAATTGTTTTCTCTTCCCACAGTTACATAATGAAACTCCCACAATGATAAGTTTAAAACAAATGTCAATTTAAACAACAAGAAAAATTGGTAAAATAATTAATTAACGAATCTAACAAAGCATAAAAATAGAAAGCAAATGAAGGCAGCAGTGATGTTTCTGCACCAAGTGATTTCAAGGCATGCTGCTGAACGCACCAATTAATCAGCCTTTGCATGCATTAGCTAATACTGATACATAAAAAAAAAACACTCTGCTGGATGATATATTTAACAAAAACAACAAACGAATAGTTTTATTAGAGATGCATCAATCACAATTTAGAAGAATTTAATCATTTGTAAACAATGAAGACTTTCCTGCTACTAAGCAAGAAAAAGGGATTACAGGGTTTGTATCATGGTAATTAGCATAGTTGGCATCACAAAAAACACAGTGTGTGCAGGCTGCAGAGAAAAGTACAGTAAATCTTTGCCCTCTTCCTGCCCCCCAAAATAAAAACCTGAATGTTTCCAAATCCTGTCTGTTCCATTGCAGACAGAGGTTAACACTCAAAAAGATAAAAACAGACCAACGTTCCTGTAGATTAGGCAGCCTTACTGTCCCCTTCGAAAGTCTTGCTCTTTTCTCACTTTCTTGCAAGCAAAAGGAACTATAAACTTGTCAAATAGATTAATTTCTAAACTTAAAACATCTCAAAAATTCTTGGAGTTGGTATTTCCTGCTCATAATGTTCCCACAGTACAGCGGTTTTGTTGAAGGAGCGTAGCGGCTCTTAACATGGTGCATTCACAAACCAGATTTTTTATTTTTGTCGCTTAGTGAAAGGTCAGCAGTCAGGGCTGATTCAGCTAAAAGTTCATTTCAAGATGTTATTTAACCCATTTGCAGGCTCAGAGTGACAAAGCACTATATTTAGTTTTTACTTTAAGCCCACATGTGAAACTGCATGGACTTTGTGTTCTTACCGATCTGCTTAGCCACATTGTACGCCTCGTCGGAGGAGCTGGCCACCATTCCCACCGGTACAGAGATGCCGGCCTCTTTCAGCAGGCCTATGCTCATATACTCATGTAAGGAGAGGTTCCTCTGCTGCTGCTGCAGGTGGGGGGGATGCAGCTGGGACACATGGCCGCCAAACAGACCTGTGGAGCCACCAAGAACCTGAGAGACGAAGCAGAGGACACAAAAACCCAACCAGTAAGTACTGATGATGTCTGAACAGTCTGGATTTCATTAATGCCAAGCAGGTGGAACCTGAGGACTGTCTTTTTTATCGTTTATGTCTCAACAAGCTCAGTCAATCGTACAAAATTAACCAGAAACTGGGTCAATTTTGTCATTGATGGGATTTATACAGTTGGATACTTTAGAAAGAAATTATCTAAAACATTTCTATACATCCAGCAAACCAAATAATGTGACCTGGAAGAAAATATCGCTTTACGGACGGCCACAGGCTCTTATATGGTCCTGGAGCGAAGGCTTTTGCTGTACTATTTTTCCGCCTGCTCGACCCATCGGACCCAGTGGCTGTTCACTCAGCAGCTGGTCCAGCTCGCCCTAACGGTGCTCTCAAATGAACAGCAGCATTTCTCACACTCCGAGCTGAACTTAGACGCCTAGCGTGTTCCCAATCAAAAGACACGGGAGGGTAGCCAGCTGACTGTTTGTTGACTTTTGCGACAGATCTGCAGCGCTTGTGGCCACAAGATGATGGCGCTGGTCGGACTCATCAATCTGGAGGAAGAACAAGAACTCCCTTATTTGTACATGCGCAGTCCTCGAGGTTCTTGTAAAACGGGTCATAGCTCTGCTTCAACAGCAGGATATTTCGACGAACACCTCACGGCGGCGGGCCTGAATTTCAAACATGTTTGATTTTCCCCCGACCTCACAATTCCTAATTTGGAGGCTGAGACTCGGCCCGATCGAAAAATTCTCGGACCACTGGAGAATTGGCCCGGAAAGGGCAAAAAAAATAATCATATATAGTGTATGGCCGGCTTCAGTAAATTCCCTAACAAGACATTCTGACAGATGAACCAGGTTAGTTTAGAAAGAGTAGCGCTCCAAAGGGTTTAACAGAGGTCCATCCTGAACACAAAGCAGCAGATCTGCTGTTAATCCTTAGAATGTGGAGAAGATATGAGTTAAAACCCAAAGTATTTCACCATTTAGCCAGATGCAGGCTGGTGGACAGTCACCAGACACCTTGGCTTCTTAGGTAGCCCCCCCACAGCTCACAATCCTGCTGTCTGCAAGAACAGCTCAACCACTTTAATGTGCTGAAAGGAAACAAAATCAAAACGATCGCCTTAAACCACAACACTAAAGAGTAACTTGGTTGCAACATAAAAGAAGCGTTTGCTGCCTGCTACGTTCCTGAAACTTTGGAAAACCCGGCTGAGGATGTGAAACAATCCGTTTCTCACACTGAGTCAGCAGGACATCTAAGTTTGATCCTTAGCAGAAAGATGTGTAACTCAATCTGACAAGATCCACAGCAAGCAATGTTACTGGGAAATACAGTATGTTCCAGCCTACATAGTACTTAAAATAATAATCATTTAGGTCGTGCCACAACCCATGTATGGAGGCCTTAGTCCTCGACATAGGTGACCCAGGTTCGAATCCTACCTGTGGTCCTTTCCTGCATGTTTCGCCCACCCCTCTCATACCCCCTTTCCTGTCAGCTTTCTGTCCATAAAACGCACCACTAGTGTCGTAAAAACTCAAAAAAATATATCATAATAATTTTTAAAATTAGTTTAGAACCATGGTAAACGCTAATCACTTCATCTGATTTGGTTCAAATATGTTTAAGAATATGTTTTATTCTTTTGAAATAAACTGTGTGTAAATTGAAGAAATTTTAAAGTGAATCATAAGACTCCTCAAACCTCAGCTTCCTCTATAATGGAGCTGCACTGCAGGTCCTATTCACTTAGTTATACAATATTTACAACATTTATTTCTTTAAATATTAAATCTAAGCCCCCCACCCCAATGTATGTGATGTAGTGTGGTGAACGGTTTGTACTGAAACTGAAATCTGCAATGTAAATTGTAGTTGACAATAAAGTTGATTGATTTAAACCCTGTCTTACAAAAACTGAAATGCAAACAAATTGAACAAAACGTACTTAAGTTTCAGCATCATGCACATTAACCGCTAATTTTACATTGAAGGTTGTGTTTGATCCACTATGAAGCTCAAAGTAAATTTCTGTTTTTAGCAATCTGTAAAAAAATCTAAAAAGAATTCAGATTTCCATCCCCTTCACATTGTTTACATTAATAGACAAACATTCTCATGGAAATGAAGTGTGATCGCTGTTAGGGTGGCAGCATCAGAGCAAATTACATAAAGAAGCTCAACCAGATAAGAAAGATCAACGGTTCTGTTCAAGGAAGCCATCTGAAACACCTGGAGATGGTTTCACAAAGAACAAATCTTAATTAATAAATAACTTTATGAACAACTTACAGCATCCTCTTTAGAAGACTGGAAAACAACAACAGTGTCTTCAGCCAGAGGCTTCTAAGGACCATGGTTAGAGTTGCAAGATAACCTTTATATGACTGAATGTGATCTTGGCGCAAACACAACAGGTGTCCTAAGTTTTGATGAATTTCTGGTTTTTCACATCGATCAGGAGGGGGAAAAATGCTGATTTTTAACTCTGGATGATTGATTAGCTCCTCTCTAATGAATGACGGGGAAAAAGCCTGTGACTGTAAAATAACAAATTTAAAAGAGGGTGGTGGATCCCTTTTTCAATACTATACAGAGTATCCTGAGCCGTTAATTAAGGCCTGGTCTAAAGAAAATCACACATTTATAACCAATAACGACTCAAACTTAGTCCATGTGACTGCACGAAACATCACGAATGAGGTTTTATTGTTTCTTTTAAGAGTTAAACACCAGAAACAACAACATTTCCATTTCAGGATCCATCTTTAAGCATTCCCAGCTGTGAAGGCAGCCTGGTTGTCTATGAATGGAAACTGCCGTCCTTTTATCCGAGAACTTCCCCAAATGCTGGGGTCCATCCGGGGACAACAGCTGCCCGTGGAGGTCACTGAGCTTCAAACCGCCCTTCAGCTTCACAATCCTAAATTACACCTCAAACGACCAGTAAACTGAGACCAAGGCAACCGTCTGTAAGCGGTCACTCATGTTGCTTCAACACTGACAGCTAGCCATGCTAACAGCAGATTCCCGCTAGTTAGCCTGTTAGCAAAAACAACGGAAACTCAATGGAGTTGTGCTAATGTCAGATTTGACCCCTTCGGCTATTTAGGAAGCTGTATTTGTAAGGAGGATGTGCACCGATGGATGGGACATATGTTCCTGAAGCAAAGCGGATTTCCTTTCACTTCGGGACGTTTTTACCTTTGAAGCGGAGCTGATAGAGCTCCTGGCCCCAGAGGATCTCAGGCTAGCCGTCAAACAGCCGCAAATCAGGGACGTCGCCATGTCTCCCGATACAAGACAGAAGTGAAAAACGCGCATGCGCGGCAAGCTTCAAACTTCGGCAACAGCGTGTGACGTTTAAGTACTATCGGAAATAAGGGCACGTTACTTTTTTGAAGACAAATAAACTCCAAAGAGGTTTTAAAAATCGAGGATGTTAGAAATGAATAATTTTGTTAAGAAAATGCTGAGATATTTACTAATTAATGAGTTTGTTAAGAAGGACCTTCAGACATTTCTCTAGTAAATGCAAGATTTTTAAGCGTTTCAATGATAGGTCTAAATAATTTCCAATTTCTTCCGTCCTCCAACAACGTTTAGGAATTTGGAAAATTCAAGAGGTTCAAGAAATCCAAAGTAAGTTTTTGAGGAATTATAAGAGTTTCCCGAATAAAATTGGGACACAAATAAAAAGGAATCTTCCCTTTACGTAGAGCCTTTAAAGGGAGCATAGTCAAGGTCTTCAGCGCCTTATAAATATAGCCATACTTTCACCTTTAACCTACATTATGATATTGTCTTTGATATATAAAAGTATATTTAAAATTTACTTTTCAGTTCTGGTTTTTGCTGGTATAGTATTCAATTCATTGAGCTATTTAAGTTTTTCTGTATAACTGCCTGTATTAGTATCACACTTCTGCTTTCATCCAATCAGCCAGATAACCTCTAGCATTTAACATGTTCAGTTAAAGATGGGGGCACTGAGATTGACAAATTTACATCAAACTACCAACTTTTATGTCTTTTTTCAGTTTTAACTGAGATACAAGGTTAAATTGACAAAAGTTAGATAAAGCTGGCTATACAAATTTCTGCATTATGAAGTGTTATATTTACTTCACCCCTAATTCCAATAAAATTTAGATTATCTTGTAACAAAGAAATTAAAACCGATTACAATAATTTATAAATCCTGTCCAACTTCTGCAAATAAATAAATTGCAAAGACAAAATCTGTATTATATTAAAATGAATAACCTTTTTCTTTTAAATATCACTCTTGAATTTGTGGCTTCCAAAACAAAAGTGAACGTGTTAATTGGTAGCAGGTAAGTCTCATGTTTGGGTAAATAAGGAACATCCCTGACAGGCTCATTTAAAAGCAAGGAGGAGTGAATTTGGTAAACAACTGAGTAAGCAAATAGTCATTAGTTTAAAATGACTATTATTGCGTATAAAGGAATTAAGATTCCTTTATACGTAATAATAATGAATTTCAGGATTTCATCGTCTACAATCTTAGCAGAGGTAGGAGATGTTGGGTCAACAAGTCATCTCCATGGGCCAGCGACTGAACCATACAGAAGGGACTCACCTGATTCAGTGGCTGGGCAGAAAGAATGCACGTCATGGAGAAGACTTGTTGACTCGTTGACTCTCATCCTTTGGTCTATAATATCAATAGAGGATACAAAAGAACCCATGCAAGCAGTGAATCAAGGAAACCTCAGAAGAAACTCACATCATTCTATATCTTATCACAAAGGCTCAGGAACATTTCAGAAGAAAAAAACACTGTCAGGTAACACAGCTTGTAGTTACAGCTACATATACAGGTGCTGGTCATAAAATTAGAATATCATGAAAAAGTAGATTGATTTCAGTAATTCCATTTAAAAAGTGAAACTTGTATATTATATTCATACATTACATACAAACTCATATATTTCAGATGTTTATTTTGTTTAATTTTGATGATTACAAATAACAAATGAAAATCTCAAATTCATCATATCAGAAAATTAGAATATTGTGAAAAGGTTCAAAATTGATGGCCCCTGGTGCCACACTCTAATCAGCTAATTAACTCAAACCACCTGCAAAAGCCTTTAAATGGTCTTTCAGTCTAGTTCTATAGGCTACACAATCATGGGGAAGACTGCTGACTTGACAGTTGTCCAAAAGACGACCATCGACACCTTGCACAAGGAGGGCAAGACACAAAAGGTCATCGCTAAAGAGGCTGGCTGTTCACAGAGCTCAGTGTCCAAGCACATTAATAGAGGCGAAGGGAAGGAAAAGATGTGGTCGAAAAAAGTGTACAAGCAAGAGAGATAACCGCACCCTGGAGAGGATTGTGAAACAAAACCCATTCAAAAATGTGGGGGAGATTCACAAAGAGTGGACTGCAGCTGGAGTGAGTGCTTCAAGAACCACCACACACAGACGTATGAAAGACATGGGTTTCTGCTGTCGCATTCCTTGTGTCAAGCCACTCTTGAACCACAGACAGCGTCAGAAGCGTCTTGCCTGGGCTAAAGAGAAACAGGACTGGACTGCTGGTGAGTGGTCCAAAGTCATGTTCTCTGATGAAAGTAAATTTTGCATTTCCTTTGGAAATCAAGGTCCCAGAGTCTGGAGGAAAAGAAGAGAGGCACTTCATCCACGTTGCTTGAAGTCCAGTGTAAAGTTTCCACAGTCAGTGATGGTTTGGGGTGCCATGTCATCTGCTGGTGTTGGTCCATTGTGTTTTCTGAGGTCCAGGGTCAACGCAGCCACATAACAGGAAGTTTTAGAGCACTTCATGCTTCCTGCAGCTGACCAACTTTTTGGAGATGCAGATTTCATTTTCCAACAGGACTTGGCACCTGCACACAGTGCCAAAGCTACCAGTACCTGGTTGAAGGACCATGGTATCCCTGTTCTTAATTGGCCAGCAAACTCTCCTGACCTTAACCCCATAGAAAATCTATGGGGTATTGTGAAGAAGAAGATGCAATACACCAGACCCAACAATTCAGAAGAGCTAAAAGCCACTATTAGAGCAACCTGGGCTATCATAACACCTGAGCAGTGCCACAGACTGATCGACTCCATGCCACGCCGCATTGCTGCAGTAATACAGGCCAACTAAATACTGAGTGCTGTACATGCTCATACTTTTCATGTTCATACTTTTCAGTTGGCCAACATTTCTATAAATCCTTTGTTTTTATTGGTCTTCAGTAATATTCTAATTTTCTGATATGATGAATTTGAGATTTTCATTTGTTGTCATTTGTAATCATCAAAATTAAACAAAATAAACATCTGAAATATATGAGTTTGTATGTAATGTATGAATATAATATACAAGTTTCACTTTTTAAATGGAATTACTGAAATCAATCTACTTTTTCATGATATTCTAATTTTATGACCAGCACCTGTAAGTTAAAACTTTACCATACAAAGGACAAGGAATAAAAAGGACAATCCACATTTTTAACTGTATAAAATAAAAACCCAGCATCAGTGGAAAAGTGTGAGTAGTCTGATGGTTTCTTTCGTCCACCCAACATGATCATTAATGCTGGAAGGTAAAAACAGATTTTGAAGCAACATATATTTTATCTAAGAAACTTTCTTCCCAGGAATGTCCATGATTATTTCAGCAAGACATTACCAATCCGCATTCTCATTAAAAGCCTGTAGCGCACTATGAAGAAAAAAAAAATTGTCTTCACCTGATCCCAAATGCTGCAGCCACAGTTCTAATGAAAATAAAAAAGCGAGAGATCTCTTATCCTAGCTTCTTGTTAAATTCAGAATAGAATTTTAAATCTATGCGAGAAGAAAACTTTAAACTTCTTCTCACATTTAAAGCCTTAAATGGCCAAGCTCCATCTTATATCAGAGATATGATTGTTCCTTATGTCCATAACAGAGCACTTCACTCTCAATCCGCAGGTTTACTAGTGGTTCCTAGAATTTCTAACAGTAGAATGGGAGGCAGATCTTTTAGTTATCAGGCTCCTCTCCTGTGGAACCAACTACCAGTTTTAGTCCATGAGGCAGACACCCTGTCTGCTTTAAGGCTAGGCTTAAAACTTCTCTTTTTGATAAAGCTTATAGTAGCTCTTCCTGAGCTAAAAAAAAAATTAAAAAGGACAAAATGCATCAATTTAAAGCTAAAGGAGGTCACTGATTAATAATACATAGTTCAGTTCTCATCCATGTCGTTTAGTATTGTTCTTTGAGTAAAATTCTTGATCAAACCTTTTCCAACATATAACCCAGAAACCTTAAGTTATAACTTATGCATGATTCACGCTTACATCGTATCATTAATGAAAAAGTATCAGAACACCCCTATTGCAAACATAAAAACTAGATGCAGAAAAGTTTATTCAAAAATGATTTATTTACAAGGAAACTATTGACAAAGTTATTTACACATTGTATGGCCATAGGTTATCACCCACACACACACACACCATGACAACAATCAGTCATGCAACAAACTCAGCGAAACACAATCAGGAGACGAGCAAATAAATAGTTTGAGTTTGGTTTTCTTCAGGATCAGAGTTGCCTGCAGAGACACATTTTAAACAGTAACAGATGCTGTTTTGGAAAATGAAAGACTAACAAAATGATCAAACTGACTGGTGAATGTTGGCTTAATTTAACCAGAGGGCTGGTTAACTCTACTGTAACAAACCCGAGGAACACAGGGTTTAACAGGGTTTTAGGTTTCTGCCTATGAAGGAAGATGGTCCTCCTAACAAAGTTCACAAAAACATCAATCCTCAGTTTGATTGAATCCAAATGAAACTGCACCAACTTCACAGCCAAAGTAAACATGAGATGATTTTACAGAAACATCATTCCTAAAACAAAAATGCTATTGATCAGTTTAAAAGCTCCTGCAATAAAGTTTGTGTCACTTCCAAAGGGGCGATGCAAAAGCCATCAAACGCGTTAAATGAAGTAACTTCTTTGTGTCTTTCTGAATAAGTTGCCCTGTTTAGGCTGACGAATGCTCAGTTTGTGGAAACTAACTTCCTCTATTAAGTATTTGTTTCAGAAGCTGAACTCCTGTTTAATATTTTAGTCCTTTAGTACAAGGATAATTAATTCCTTCTTAAGAAGTCTTATTTAGATATTTAGGAATAAATCTTCAATTTTGATCATCTTTCTAATAAAGAATTAATCTCATATGATCAATTAGTATATTTGTATTTACTATTACCTATTATCATGTTCAGTAAAAAGAAATTTAACCAAACATGTGAAGGTAAACAACTGTAAAACAAAACAAAAAAAATCCAACTTTACCTTCCATTGTTTTAGTCTTTGTATACATCACTTTAAATTTCTTTTTTTTTTTTTTTACCAGAACGATATAAATATGATTACATTTTCTGTTATTCAAATCTAACCAAATTGAAAACTACTAAATAAAGACAAGTTTGAAAATCCAAGCATCAAACTCTTCATTCTCAGCTTTGAGCACATTGAGATGCAACATTTCAAAGACCTTTTCCAGAATGCAAATATTTGAACCCAAAGAGTGAGGAGCAGAAACGAAGGTCTGCAAACCTCAACACACCAGAGCATAAAGGAAAGAGGAGTCTGTCAGAATGAATCCATTTGAGACTTAAAAAAAAATGTCACTTGCTATGCTGTAAAAAAAATTTCTACAAGTTAGAAATCAATATTTTAGTTAGCTTCTTAACCAGACTTTACCTTTTTATGCAAATTCAAAAACAGAGCACAATCTGTTGTAATTTTCTTAATAAATTAAGAGATGTACTTCTTTTCTTGAATGTAAATAAAGAGAACCTGAGATAGGTACTCATTGACCACTAGAGGGCAGTGCCTACTTTAATCTATCCATTTCACTATAGAGGAAACAACTTAGCCTTTAAGTGGCATGATAATATAAAATATCAGGGATATGAATAAAATTTAGTAAATTTGTATGAATATGCAGTCAGATTATCTGAGCTGAAACAAGAGCAGAGATGATTTTTATGTTTGGAAACAAACAAAACCATCACATTTCATTACAAAGAATGAAAACATAAGCACTAATCATCTTTTAAAGTCTTTAGTCAAGTACCTCTCACAATTTATTCAGCCTCAGACCTCACCCATTGTAGTTATTGATGCATAAATGGTTGGTTATAACTTCACAGCAGAGGCAACCTGCCTGCTCAGACACATCCTGTTCAGACACATAAGGCGTGTAGATGTGCAGTAAAAGATGTTTGTGTCGCTTGTGCTGCGTTTTATGAAGGGCAAACCAAACCCATGACCTAAAAACCTGCGTCTCGGTTCCACGTAAACAAGGAGGATTAAGGGTTTCAACAAAACAGCTTTTTGCTTTGCAAATTATTAACAGCATATTTATGAAACTAGCTTTACCTCCATATGAACGATTCTCATATTAGGTCAGATTTAAATAAACCTCATGAGAAAAAGGGTGTTCAAATGCTGCCTAACAAAAAAAAAACACACACACACACACAAACAGAAAGCCTGATTTTCAGTCTGAGTCACTGCTGCTGCTGGATGAGTCTGTGGACATTGCTTCCACATCATCCTCGTTCTCCTTGTTGTGACCTGGGGGCTCGAGGCCGAAGTCGTTTCCATGGTGAGGAGGGAGCATCCCTACAGAGACATCTGAGGACTGCCAGGGGTAGTGAGGCGTCAGAACATCTGGGGACCAAAATAAGACCACTTTTAATAGGATAATGTGTCCGTTATGAACCAGGGGCTCATTTGATTCTCCTCTCTAGTGTTGCTGTAAAATCTACTGTAGAAAATTAGTCTGGAAAAATATAAAAAAATATATTCCTAATTGTCTCCTTGTTATTCCCACAATAAAAGAGAAAGAATTAAAAAAAAATCAGAAATACGTATAAAGCCCAGCATATGCTGTAAACCTTTTACTGTTCTTGGGATGATTTTCCAGTTGTGTGACAAGTTTGGAGATCGAAGCGACTCTTGGCCGAACAGTCTGTCGTGCATTATACAAGTGGTTAACTAGAGGAAATTGCCTCCTCACGACAAGCTCTCGATCAGAAATTGTGGGTCACAAGAAAATCAAACTTGATATTTTGGTGACAAAAATTTTCACATTACGCATGCACGAAACAAAAACAGAAGTAAACCAGAGGCAGCGTTTCTTCCTCAGTGACTAGCTACATTTATTTATTTCACTGCATGTCAGAATGGTTCAAAACCCTGAAGTGTCTTGTTTGAGTTGAAGTTTTAGTAGCCAGATCGGATCAGAGCGTCGGTTCGTACAGTAAGGATAAACATCGCAAGCCGTGAAGTTTTGAACTGTGTAATTGATTTGCACAGCAATAATTACATGCCAGGCTTAGGTCTAATGCCAATAACATGGTCAAAGCTCCAGACACTACAAAAACAACCACACCATGTTCAGAAGATTATGAGCCTATAGTATCCAGTGTTACTGGATAATATATGTATACTGGATTGAGCTTCCGTCCATCAGTCAGTCAGGAAAAGAAAGAAATCAAAACACTGAATAGTAATTTGTTAATATTTAACTTTTCTTCTCTGATTCTAATAGAGGAATCACCAAGTTCCTCCTGTTTAAGGAGAACCTCTGGGTTCTTCCATCTTAAACTGACCTGGTAACCTTCCAGCAGCCAGAGCGTCACCGGGCAGATGTCCATTCATCCCATTGGTTGGCAGGTTGGCCATGTGTCCCAGCATCCCGCTGCGCATTTCCAGGTCAGTGGGATAAGGTCGGCGGGGATCACCTGAGAGCAACATTCCTGTTATCATCTAGAGAAGCAGACTAAATATCATAGCAGACACTGAAGGGACTCACCTGGCACCCAGTTGAGCGGGGCGCACACAGCATTACTGGCACTGATTCTGTGAGCATACTTGATGATTTCTTCTGAAGATATGCTTCCTGCAGAGAACAAAGATACATTTGGTGTTCATTCATAAGCAAACAGAAAATCAAGGTCAAGCTAAATGCTGCAGTTCACCTTTTCTGGCCTTTTCAATAGATTTCAGCTTCTCCTTTGCCTGGTAAACAGCTGTGGCCTTGGAGAAAAAAGACAAGAGAACCAGTTTCCATTAACATAGCAGAAATCATGAGGGACACAATCAGACAACTATAATAATCTTAAAGTGATGTTCTTAAACTGAACACCGAAAGCTAAAAACATCTGTGGATGTGATCAGTTTTTATTCCTTAGTAACAAGTCCAAATGGGTAATGATCATTAAAGCTAGGAAATTCAGCTGCATCATAGTCTTGATAACGTCTAGCTGTACAACTGCAGGAGAAGCATGATTTGGATCTACAAATGTTCTAATGCTACCTTCAGACCTCATCAGCAGAAGGAGCAAAAACGCGCGTGCTGCTTCATTTTTAATGCTTGTACATGTTTAGTTCTGACGCACGGCTGAAGCATCTTTGATGCTCTAGGCTGCGTGTTGGAAAAAGTGGGTCCGATGCATGGTGGGCGGAGCTAACCTATCCTTTCTAAACAATGGCGGATGAAATCGAGAGAGTCGCTTGGCTTATTTGAATTAATAATGCTACGTTTTGACAGCAAGTGCTTCTGCTGCTTCATTTTTGATGCTTGGTCACATTAAGGACATATTTCCAGTAGTGTGTCCAGAAGCGTCTGATGTTTCTGCTGCTCCTGTGTTCAATGGCAGAGTGGCTTTGCTATCTTTGCTGTTATAAGTGGGTAAAACATAGTTATATGTTTTTAAGAGAGAAAGTCATTCTTAAAACTTAATCTGTCCAGTCAGTTCAACATTACGATCCTGCCTTCCAATATTATTTAACTGTCAGTGCTGCTCAGATCCCCACACACCGACGGTGCGCTGCCACTGGGAATCCCGTTCAACAGAAGCCCCTGGCCCAGTCGCCTCTTCACAGTTTTACGCTACTGTTTAAGGCGGCTGGAAGGTGTTTTTCACGTATGTAATCCAAACTGCAGGCACCAGAATAATGAAAGCGAACATGTTTTGCCAGCAGGTTTCGACATTTTAAGTTAATTTAGGCGTTAAACTGTTTCAGAGGAGTGATCCTAGTATCTTCATCAGCAGTCTGTCTCCCTGCCAGCCTCAGATTAGCTTTTCTGATTGGTTGATGTGGCGAGTCGAGCAGCAAAAGTTCAATTTCTCCAACTCCAGCAGCTGCTGCTTGTGAAGCGCGTCAGATGCTCAGAAGCTCATGATGGGCTGCTTCAGCTGCTCAGACGCGCTGCTCAAAAGACGCTGCAGGACCTTTTGCTGCGCCTTGATACACGTCAACCGTTGATTTTGCATATAAACTAACTGCTTCTGCAGCGTCCGGTCTGAACGTAGCATAAGAGCTGTGGTGCATCAAGGATCAGTAGACATTGTCAGCAGAAACAACAAATCTGCTTCATACCAGGATGTGTTCAGCTTCCTTCAGCTGCTTCTGCAGCTGCTGGATGTCGCTGTCTCTCTTCTCCACCTCCTTCTCCAATAGCTGCATCTCCTGGTGAACCTTCCCCTGCTGCTGGGCCACCTCCATCAGCTCCTGGAACTCCTTGTCCCTCTGCACAAGCATCTCTAAGATCTGAGGAAGGATAAAACCCTCTTTAAATGTCTACAGAGGAAATGCTAACAGGGTGGAGGACAACTTCTCTAAAACCAGACACTAATTGGAGCTTAAATATATATATATATATATATATATATATATATATATATATATATATTTTATTTTTTTTTTTAAAGTGAAACCAAATCAGCAACAATAGAGGGACATATGGGAAAAATGGCTGACATTCTGTTCAAAAGTTGAAAAACTAAATACAGCAACGATATTTAAAAGTGAACGCCGTTTTTTTTTTTTTACATTGGGCCCTTGATTTTATGTTATTACATCATGTTCTACTCACCCATATGAGTTTTGTGTCATTTGGAGCTGTTCTGAAGATATTCCGTTAAGTTATATCCAGGTAAAGTCTTCCTTTGGGCAACGACTTGAAGGCACAAACTAAACTGTTCATAATTTATTCTTTATGGTACGCCAGCGTTCATAACATGTAGGCAAATCACTGTCACCCAGAAATCTGCGGTTATATTTTTTATATTTCTATTTTTTTTTAAACAAAGCAGCTTGTGTATGACGTCATCCGAGCACGCCGGCTACCATTCATTCATTCTGTCCGCTGAACTACTGCTAGTTTTACTCACATGCTAGGAAGATGTCTAGTGCTACTACCACAGATGATCTCTCTCTTGAAATGGAATGGAACGATTCAGATTAGCTAGCAGAATAAATAGAAGGGTTTAAAATAAAAAATAAAAAACAGGCGCAGCTTTGTTTTTAAAACATATAAATATAAAAAATATAAACGCAGATGTCTGGGGGACAGTGATTCGCCTACATGTTATGAATGCTGGCGTACCATAAATGATAAACTATGAACAGTTTAGTTTGTGGCTTCAAGTCGTTGCCCATAGGAAGATGTTACTTGGATATAACCTAACCGAATATCTTCAGAACAGCTCCAAATGACACAAAATTCATATGGGTGAGTAGAGCATGATGTAATAACGTAAAATCAAGGGCCCAATGAAAAAAAAACGAAATTCCCCTTTAAAGCTGTAATGATGTCTAAACCTCGAAAGACATCATTACAGAAGCTCTAAGAAAAGCTTCTATTAGAAACAAACCACCTACCGTATTTTCACGACTATAAGGCGCACTTAAAGGTCTTTTTTTTTTTCCTCAAAATGCGCGGTGCGCCCTATGGTGCAGTGCGCCTTATGTGTGTTGTAACTGCGACTTTTGAGACCACCTCATTGAGGAGATGATGAAAGAGTGGCTGAATGTAAGGAGACCAGGTGTTTTTTTTTTCCACCCCTCACCATCGCTGTTAATATGTAACTCCATGCGTTCCCATCTCACAGCTGATGTGAAAAACATGGGGAAACAAAGGTGCAGCAGAAGCAGCGAGTTTACATGCAAAGTCAATGGTTGACGCGCATATAGGTGCAGCAAAAGGTCCTGCAGCGCGTTTTGGTGCAGCACGTCGGGAGCGTTTAAGCATCTGACGCACCGCCAACGCGCTGCTGCTGCTCGACATGGAAAAATTTAAGTTTTGCTGCTGGACGCGCCGCATCAACCAATCAGAGAAGCTGATCTGGGAGCTGACAGCGAGACAGTACAGCGCTCTGATGACATATGATATTAACGCAAATGAAAAGGCTGGATCGATGAGGAGATGATGAAAGGCAGGTGTATCTGAGAAGACTAGGTGGTTTTTTCCACGCATCACCATCGCTGCGTGCCCATCTCACAGCCGATGTGAAAAAAAGATGAATCAAATGAACGCTGTGCTCGCCGTTATCCCGGGGGGTCTGACAAAGGAGCTTCCACCGCTCGACATCGGTTTGAAGCGGCCGTTCACAGTAAGGCTGCGAGCGGCGTGGGAGCGATGGATGACCGACGGAGACCACAGTTTCAGGATAAGAAGGCAGCGCCGGGCAGATTACGCCACCGTTTGCGGATGGATTGTAGATGCTTGGACTAAAGTGTCTGCTGGCTCTGTTGTTCAAGCTTTCGCAAAAGCCGGCATTATTTCTGAGGAGCTGCGCTGCACGGAAAGTGACTCTGACAGCGAAGAAGGGGAAACTGGCATGTCTGATTTAGCGCAGCTGTTTTATTCAGAAACAGAGGATGATGACTTTGATGGGTTTGATTAATACTCTGTAATAAATACTTGAATAAAGCACAATCATACTCAGTTTTGCTCCCGCTCTATTTTTCTACCTAAAAAACTTAATTCAACAGCCGCCTCTGGGCCGCAGCGCATCGGGCTCACCTCAGCAGGTGTTTTTTCATCTAAATAATCTAAATCTTTTTAAGTGAGAAAGCCCACCGGAAAATTTAATCATTGCAGTCAGTTCATCCAGATTATTATCCTGCCTATGTTTTAAGTTAATTTATGCGTCAATAAACGAAGAAGGGGGAACTGGCATGTCGAATTTAGCGCAGCTGTTTAATTCAGAAACAAAGGATGATGACTTTGATGGGTTTGATTAATACTTTGTAATAAATACATGAATAAAACACAATCATACTCAGTTTTGCTCCAGCTCTATTTTTCTACCTAAAAAACTTAATTCAACAGCAGGCTCTGGGCCGCAGCGCATCCGGACTCACCTCGGCAGGTGTTTTTTCATCTAAATAATCTAAATCTTTTTAAGTGAGAAAGTCCACCTGAAAATTTAATCATTACAGTCAGTTCATTCAGATTATTATCCTGCCTATGTTTTAAGTTAATTTATGCGTGAATAAACGAAGAAGAAGGGGAAACTGGCATGTCGGATTTAGCGCAGCTGTTTAATTCAGAAACAGAGGATGAGGACTTTGAGGGGTTTGATTAATACTCTGTAATAAATACTTGAATAAAGCACAATCATACTCAGTTTTGCTCCAGCTCTATTTTTCTACCTGAAAACTTAATTCAACAGCCGCCTCTGGGCCGCGGGGCATCGGACTCACCTCAGCAGGTGTTTTTTCATCTAAATAATTTAAATCTTTTTAAGTGAGAAAGTCCACCTGAAAATTTAATCATTGCAGTCAGTTCATCCAGATTATTTATCCTGCCTATGTTTTAAGTTAATTTATGCGTCAATAAACTGTATCAGAGGAGTAATCACAGCCCTGTGTCATCAGCGATGTGTCTCTCATGGCCAGCTCCCAGGTTTGAATAACACTTTGTAATAAATACACCTTGCAGCTTTATTTGCTGTGATCAGTGGGAATAAAGTAGTTTTAATATGTTTTTAAGTGAGAAAATCCACCTGAGAGGACATGTACCTGTATATAAAAAACGCGCCCTATAGTCCGGTGCGCCTTATGTGTGTGTTAAATACAGAAATGGCACACATAACTGAGAGTGCGCCTTTTAGTCCGGTGCGCCTTATGGTCGTGAAAATACGGTACTATTGAATATGGTTACAGTGAAAACATTTCAGTTAATGACGCCTTTTGAAAAAAGATCTAACATCAAAACCTTAAATGATAGCCACCCTATTAGAAACTGCAAGTTTTCCAAGATCCTCAATTAAACTGATTTCTCCACCAGAGAGGAGCATCAAGTGTTAAAAGCAGCGATCAGTGGATCTTTCAATGGCTCCGGTAAAAGCTTTCTTCAGGGCACAACAATAAAAACAACATGAGCAGTTTACTGCATACAGTCGTCAGGAGCTCACTAATGACAAGGTCGGCAACTAATGATTATTTTGTGAATCTATTAATCTGTCTTTTAATTTTGTTTTTACATTAATTGATTATTAATCAAGCTTCTTAAAGACGATTCTTTACTAAATTAAACCAGTTGAAACAAATGTTTCCACTTGAGGAGTTCTTGAATGAACGTATTGATGAATGAAAACTTTTTTTTTATTTCAAATGTAAAATGTTTACATATTTTCTTACAATTTTGATATAATTACTGCTCTAAGCATTGCTCTGTAAGCTAAAGGCATGTTTATTAAAATAATAAAAATAAATAAAATTATTTCAATAATTGATTAATTTTTTCCACCCTACTAATGACCTATAAAACTAAGGTGTTTTTGTTTTTTTTATTGAAAGTTTGCAAACAAACAAAGATACACATATACATGGCTTATCATGAGTGTTGGCCTAGTACAGAGGTCACAGATTAGCAGATCCGGACCCACCTGCTGGCTAATCCGGACCCAACCTGATTTAAAACATTTATAAATAACCGCATGTTGTCTGACGACAGTGTCTAACTTCATTTGCACCGCTTCTCCTGTTAATATGGTAAAACTGTCCGGAGCGTCCGGCATCAGGCTGCAAGTGACAAAAATTAGCCAATGAGCTGTGTCAGTCTGGGTTGCTGCTGCTAGCTACTTTTAGATACAGCAGGCAAACCCGTGGCAAGCTGGGCGATGGGGAAGAAGGAGAAGATGAGAAAAAGAGAAGAGGGAAAGTGTGGACTGCTGGAAGAACTGCGTTGAACTGGTGAAAGAAAAGTGAAATGGTGTGCTCAAAGATGACCCTGCACATTTTCAGTATGTTTGGCTCAACCCACCATGAACATAATAAAAAATAAGTAGAAGACAATATAGAGAATTTGTCCTCCACCCAATAGGTTGCTGAGCAAAACCATTAACCCCACACTGCTCCTCTGGTGCCACACACTGGCAGCCCACTGCTCTCCAAGTGGATGGGTAAAATGCAGAGAGTGAATTTCCCCATTCTGGGACAATAAAGGGATTTATATTTACAACCAATGAGTGAACAAAGCTGCATGGAGTGTTCAGTCCATATAATCAGACCTCTGCAGGTGAGTGAGTTTTTTGGTACCTGAGTGTCTTCTCCTGGTTGGGGGAGTTTCTGACCTCTGGACAGAGCCAACATCTCTATCAGCTCCCTGAAATAAAAACACAAAAACAGTTGATAACAGCTGAATAATAGCTTCAGGCAAGAGCAAGTACAGCTCTGCATAAACCTGCTGCTGCTGCTTGTTCATCACAACTACGAAGCTATGGATAAAATACTCTAAAGTAGACTAAAGTGTTTCCAAGAGCAGTTATTATTCGGTTAATTCAATTATATTTGAACTTTGTGCACTTTAAGAATATACAACCGGACATAGCTGGTTCTGACCTAACCTGCAAACAACTCGTAAACTGTTTACGCCACTTTAAATGGGTTGGAAATGAAGAAAGAAAAGCATAAAACAACTTCGCAACAATAAGCAATAAACCTTTACCGAGATAAAACCTCTAAGTCATCCAACACAGACAGCAGACGCTCCTTCGTTGATTTTTCTGCTAGTGCCGCCATGTTTGCTTCCCTCTTTGCGACGACAGGATGTGACGTCTAAACTCTCATCCTTTGCGTTGTTCAATCGTTGCCCCCTACAGGTGATAGTAGACATTACAGAAAACTGTTCGTCATCCCAGGGACCATCTGTAAGCTCCTGGCGATTGCTGTTTTCTGTTAAACAAAGCATACATGATTAAAAGTTTGGCTAAATACCCAAATATTGTATTCTTAACACTTCACCATTTCAAATCATATCTGATATTTTCATGGTCTTGCAAGACTTTTACATAAACTATACCAAGAACTCTATGTGAACAAAAATGACAACAAAAGTTGTCTGAGTGTCTAAGTCAGCATGTTCACCTCCAAGATGATCTGAGACCAACAGTTGTTGATATAATCCATCTACAAAACCAAAGAACTTCTGCACAAACTGTCAGAAATCGTCACAGGGAACCTCATCTGCATGCTTGTCTTCTTCAACAGGGTCTCCAACTGACTCCAGTTCATCGTTGTAACTCACTTGAATGGGAAACTGCTCATATTTGCAGGCATCTGGCATGTTGGTGAGGTGCTCTCTTCACGGATGTATCCCATTTTACACTATTCAGGAAAGTTGTGGGTGAGCGGTTTTCTGATGTCAGTGTTGTGGATCGAGTGGCTCATGGTGGCGGTGGCTTTATGGTATGGACAGGCATCTTTTATGGATGAAGAACACAGCTGCATTTTGTTGACTGAATTTTGAATGCCAAGAAATACTGAGAGGAGATCCCGAGGCCCATTGTTGTGCCATACATCAAAGAACATCACCTCATGTTACGGCAGGATACAGAGGTTTACAGCTTCTTGGGCTATCTGAAGCCAGGCTTCGAGGCTTGTACCGAGTAATAAGGGGGCGTGTCAATGAAGCCCCGCTTCGAGGCCTGTGTTGTCTTGTTGAAAACCACATGACTGGCAACAAACGAGGCCTCCATTGCATTGATCACGTGACTGCTTCATTTTGCGTGTCGGTTTTCAAAATAAAAGCGCGATGAATCCTGTTGCTTCGTGGGTTGTAGTAGGTGGTTTGGTATCAGCAGAACAGTTTTCATCAGCAGTGGTTTAAATGGAGCCGTCAAAAAAGAGAAAAACCTCTCATATGTGGGAGTATTATGAGATGACAGATCACAAAAACAATTAAACCTAAAATCCAGAAATTTCTATATTCTCTTTTGTTTAATCAGGAGATGCATCAGAATCACACATCAAAACCAGACTAAAAGCCATTAGAAGAGGCAAACTCTATGTGTAACTTAATATTAAGAATCAGAACTAGAACTCCTAGGAAGAGATGATTTTAAACAAATTCTGTCTTTAAGGAAGCAAGTTTTAAGCTCAAAGTATACAGAGTCTGCAGCAGTCACTCAGTTCTCAATACATTAAAGTAACACATATCTTCATTGTCTAATAAGTCCATGACATAAAAGAAAACCTAACACCACCACTGATGGTCAAGGATTAGATTGGCTACAAATCATTTTAATCATTAAAACATGACAATTAAATAGGATTCTCCTCTTACTAAACGTGAGTTTGATGAAAACTTTGTGACAATATTGCATTTCCTAATATTTGGAGTTATGATCCAACTGAGTAACAAGGCTGTTACAGTTTCACCAGCAGACGTCACTAGTGAGTGATGAATGAAGCATCGAGTAATGAACTTTTTTCAACACTTTGCGTTAGAAAGCTTCATTGCTTCATGAGGCTTCACTTGCCCATCACTACTGTAAATGTCCCATTCCATGGCCGGCATACTCACCGGACATGTCACCCGTTGTGCATGTTTGGAACCCCCTTTCAGAGTGGCCTTTTATTGTGGGCAGTCTTGATATGGCACACCTGTGCACTAATCATGGTGTCTTATGAGCATCTTGATATGGCAGACCTGTGAGGTGGGATGGATTATCTCAGCAAAGGAGAAGAGTTTACTAACACAGATTTACGCTGGTTTGTGAACAATATTTGAGGGAAATGATTATATTGTGTATGTGGGAAAAGTTAAAGATCTTTGAGGTTATCTCATAATAAAGGGAGCAAAACCAAAAGTCTTGCGTTTATATATTTTTGTTGAGTGTTATTCTTCATAGAAGTGTTTATATTCAGAAATGTAGGAAAGCCTACCGCCTTAGGATTCATATTTATCTATTCTAAGGAATGAATCTGCTTATATCCCATACAAACAGAAGGACACATTAGAAGAACATAAGTTGTCACAAATCCTCCTGCTGTTTATACTAGTATTTACTAAAGAATTTCAGACTGTGAGGCTTCTTTGATGCCCGTCTTGTCCTGCAATTTGAAAACCTTTATATTGAGCTGTGCTCAAACCCTCCTCAGGTTCTCAGGGGAAGACAGTCCCGGTGTAGGTACCAGATTGACTCGGGCTGCCAGATTGACTCGGGGGCCTGCGCCTTTTGATGACGTCACAATACATAATTGTTTTAATGTTTGCACAATTGCGCAAAACATTTTGATTGGTCTGGACAGCTTACTAAAGTAATTATAGCGGGGTGTAGGTTTTATTCGAAAGCAGGATTGCGGTTTCTAAACAGACAATTTTACGAAGAAATTCTCCATTGTCCCTGCGCCTTCCGATGACGTCACCGAATTCGCCATGGGCCTTGCGCCTCCCGATGACGTGACATTATGGCAATGCCACTCAAACAAACTACATTGAGCCCGTGGTCTGCATTTGTAACGAGAATAAATTCAGGAGAATGAAGCTAAAGGGATACAAAAAATAAACTTGTAATATTACAAAACCAAAAATACTACGAATACAAAGTATATTCAGAGATTAAAGTCCCTCTGATACTTTTTAAGTGACTGAGAAACTGCAGATTTGCCACATGTAAGATGGCGGACGCTCTGACGCATCTCAAAAGGCGCAGGCCCCCGAGTCAATCTGGCAGCCCGAGTCAATCTGGTACCTACACCGGAACATGCTATTCATCGTGGATATCTTAAAGCCTCAGTAGCTGCATTTCTCCCCCCGATCAGGGGCGGATTTAGGAAATTTGGGGCCCTAGGCAAAGACAGATATGGCCTTAGCCTATTGCTCTTTTCTATATACCGAAAAAGGCGAAGGCAAAAGTAAATAACACATTTTATTGTAGACAAGCTATGATCTGTTTATCTGTTCTCCATTTTTCATTTGGATAAAATAATAGTTGCATGAATCATGACAGCAGACAAGATAGAGGAGAGCAGGAGGCGGGTTAGCTATCTGCTTGCACTGAAGAGCAGAGTTCAGTGCTTCTATATGTTGTCCTCAAAGTCTCCAGTAGCAGAAAAAAAGTTGCTAGGTTTGCCAGAGGGGTCTGAAAAGTCACTAAATATAGCGACAAAAGAGCTAAGTTGGCAACACTGCTCTTTGCACTATTTGTTTTTAAATGGTTTTTCTGCTGTCTATTTCCTGTTTGGTAACTTACCAGCTTGTTTTGTTTGTATGACTGCCATTTTGGAAAACGGCTCATTAAAATGGAATGCTGGGACCCTTTGTCCGCCTGGATCCCCGCTCTCTTTCGCCCTCATGTCCCTCCGACAAACTTGCCCCCACTTCTCAATGCCTCTGTAGTATCTAGAGCCACAGCTAGTTGGTGTTTGTTCGTCTTGCGTTGTGGCGTGGAATAGCATAGCGCAGACCACGCTTCAATATTGGGCATAAATCAAAAATATCTGCAACATACCAGCAACACACTGCTGTGGGGGTATAACCAGCCCTTTAATATTATAAGCATTCTGATGTCATTTTAGCGGAACGATTTTTATCAAAAACATAATTATTGTGCACAAATAAGGAACAGTTGTATTAACCATACTTGTAAACAGAGTTTTATGGCCTGCCTTGTATTGCCTAATGGTAAATCCCTCCCTGCCCCCGATCCTCTTCATGACCCAGAAATTTGTTCTCACATGCTGTAAAATTCCCAGGAGCTGCTCACATCTGAGATCATGCAATTACAAAGTGAAGCTGGCTGAAACTTTGTTTGCAACACAAGAGGAATACTCTAAACACATCTGTTACTCTTGATCAGTCAGTTTGTTGAAATTTAAAAGCTCTACATGAGCTGCAAGAAGTTCTGATCAATCGGTAAAATATTCAAAAAGTATATGAACTGTCACCAACAAAAATGAAGTTAAACTTCAAAAACCTATTTCTTAGCTGCTCTGTTCTTCAATACTTGACACACTACCTTTGATTGAGACTTTCTTACTATTCACAAACTATGAACAATTATAGCAGCTCCTACAAGAGGAATCTGATGACCCTTTCTGTTAAATTAACTATTTTAGTTGCTCAGTCGTAATATATCAGACCTAGACTGTGAGCAAATCTGAACAGTTCTGCTGACATACTAAGCTTTCCTTCAGGGAATGGAAGATTTCCCTCCTGATTAAAAAGAAAATTAAAAAGGCAGATTTTTACATTTCACACTGCTGCTTGTTAAGTAAGCATTCAAAAAAGCAAAGAAAAAGGTGCAGGGACAACTCAAACAGAGTTAAATTCAAATGAATTTAAAACAGATTTCATAAAGGGTGTTTATTGCATCATGAAATTGTTTAGAAATTAACGTCCAAAGCTGGACTGTCGTGAGATCTGAGCTTTCAGTCTCACAACAACGTAGAAAACGTAGAAGTCAACTCAGTTCTCAATCTGGCTACTGCCAGGTTATGTCCAAAGTGCATTTCTGGGGATAATAGTGGCTCATGGACTGACTTTACTAGGCCCTCGACTGTAATTCAAGAAGAAAAATTCAATTTTGGCCCATTTGGTCGATCCAAATAGAGACTTTGATGACTTTTAATTTGGGTAAAATGTTTGGTACACCAAAAAACATTCATGGCTTTTAATATCTTCTACTGTTAATAAGACCAGATCAACCCAGTGACTTTTATCTATAAAGAAGAATTTGATTAATAACTGAACTTTATTGTTCTCACATTGGAGAAATTTACCTCTGCTTTTAACTAATCCTTTTGGGCAGCAGTGGGCTGCCATCTCAGGGCGACCATGGAGCAATCGAGGTTAAGGATCTTT